AAGCATTTTAGTATGTATTTTTCGTCTCTGTGACAAAAGTAAATTTTTCATTCTGCTGAAATAATAAGAATATGGAAGAATTTTAGTGGAAACATAATTCAGTTTAGAATCAAAACTGGAAAAAATTTCTACTCGAAATTCCTACACGTGAAATTCCTACTTCGCGTGTAAACTGTCCATTAGTTTTAGTATGGAAATCTTTGGAAATACTCGTAGTTTAAGAACAGAATATAATGTACTTTCAGAAAAAGTTCTAAATTTTTATGAAGCGCAGAGCTTAAATTGTGCCTGAACCCACTGTACCCCGGATCCGGTACTTCTCAGGTTTCGACATAAAATTATAATTTCAGCCGGAGCGCACCGGAGCCCCAAATAAAAGGGCCCTGGCACTTCCTTTACGTAAATGAACCAAAATATTAGCAGACAAATTTTGTTTTAATAGTAAACATGCCTTAAAAATAAATTCTAACTTCTGAATGCAGGCTTGTGTTTCCCTCGCACTCAAGCCTTGCACAGAGGTTCAGACTTTTCTAAAATCTAATTTATTACGTCTTGAAAGCATGTTTAGACTACCTGTCTGTAAGTATGAAGAACCCTTCGAGCGTTCATAAAGGAAAGAAGTTTTAATTATTTTACGGCTAGTAGTCTCGTAGTTCCTTCTTAGTAGTCATTTTGGCTTTTTTACATAATTTATTAACTTCTGATAAGTAGTTTTGGTTATTCGAAACGAATCTGAAGTGTATCTCATACTTTGGCTGTTTATCATTTGGCATTCTGTAAAATGCCTAGGAAATGTATGAAATATGAATCGTTTCATGCATTGTCGGCTAGTTTTAGGCATTCAATAGAATGCTGGATTTCAAACTTTGCCGGTAACATATAAACAAATTTACTAAGTTTTTTTTAAGTTAATGAGCAACTTTTCAGAACTTAAATATGGTATTTAATCAATAAGTTACTCCATACTAGCATAACTCGCTTGAATTTGCAAATATTCTTATCAAATTTTATTATATTGCTAGTTGATGCGTAAGCATATAATGTGTTATATTATTCGAGAGAACGTCACTATTTTATCTCATTTCAAAATCCCTAGTACCTCTCTAAGAAGTCGTTGAAGCCAACGCACTTTCCCTTCGACTGCTTAGCGCATGCGCAAGAATTCTACAGGAGAAACTAGTCGATTTTTCCGTGACGTCAGAAATACTAAACGGGTAGGTCAAAGAAAGTCTTGAACGTTACTAAGACTCCCGTTGTAATTTCAATACTTAACATAATTTTTTTAAAGAAAAATAACAAGGCTTACAAATAATAGTTTCAAATTTAATAAACACCAGGTACATGAAAATGTGTACAAATTCTGGCAACGATCCGCATGATCGTTCTTCAATTAACGCCTATCATAACAATCCTTTAGTCAAGTACAGTCGGCTTTCTCGTTTCTGTTCTTTTTGTTATATTCCAAGTTCCATTGCGACAAACTGTGGTATTTTTGCCTTTAATTTCAAAATCTGGGTTTGTGGAATTTATCAACAATGGATGAAACTGTAAAATTCCCGCAGGAATGTAGAATTGTTTTTTCTCAAAATTTCTGAAAGGAACGTATGGTAGACAGCAAGTACAGCTTGAACGATGTTAAGTTTTTGCTTTTCTCAGACTTTTTTTAAGCGAAAACAGATCCCTGTGTACTCCAGAAGAATAGAGCAAAAGCACATTACAGAAAAATCTGGAGAAGAATGTAAATGTTTTATTTCTTTAATATATCACGTAATTCTTATTTAATAGTTAAATTTTTTAAAACTGCTTATTTCTGTTGATTTTTCGTATATTGATAATATTTGCCGAATAATTATGGATACTTTTGAAATTTTTTTGAAAAAAAGTTGTGAAAACAAATAACTTGAACCCGATGAATAACTTTTACCTTTTCATGCGTAAAATTGCGTTCATGCGTTTTTAAATTGCTTAAGTCTGTTGGCTTTTCGTATATTGATAATGTTTTGCTGACTTACAATAATTATCGATACTTCGGGTTTGAAAAAAAAAAGTCTAAAAAATGAGTAACCTGAACCCGATGAATACCTTTTACCTTTTCACGCGTAAAAAATCGCCAGAGAGGGAGAAGGTGGTTGCGTTAGTACGCAAGTGCTTTTTAAATTTGTATTAAATTGCTGAAATATGTCTGCTTTTAATATGTTGATAATGTCTGTTGACTGACGATGAATATCCATGGTTTGCGAATCATTTTTAAAAATATTCGAAGATTCGCCGACTTGCGCCTAATACGAAACTTTTACATTTCCGTCAGGAAAAAAATCGCCAAGGTACTCAGCAAACATTTTTTGCTATTTTTTCATAGATAATTCTGCGTTCTGTTACAATTATTTTCTCAGCATATGAGTAACAATATTTAACTTGACTTAGTAGATTCATGTTACTTGCTTCGGTTTTAAAATTTTAATTTAAGGAAGTCTTTATATTTAAAATATCATATTCATGTCATTTCATTCTATAATCATTAAATTAAGGAATTTTATATGAAATATTTTATTATATATTACATACAGAAAATGCATGATTTAATCAATTTTTGTTAAATAATGAGAGAAATACACTTTTAAAAATCCAATAAACAATCTGATTACACATCAGATGTCATATTTACAAGTTTCTATCTAACTGTATCAAATGAAGTACATGAATAAAATATATGTGAAAGAGATGTAAAAAAAAAGCTATGATATTAGAAGTATATTTTCTATGATGTTAGAACTTAAAGTAAGCATTAATATGAAACATATTTAAATAAACGAAGTGTTATTTTTCACTTCTGTGTAACTTGAATCTCGTCCATTCCTTTTGTTGTCCCTACGACTCTTTGAGCCTCAAATCGTACATAAATATTTAGAGAACGTAAATGAACAACTGAACGAAATTGTCGACTGAATCTCAGTTCGTGTTTTCTTCGCAGCGATAGATCGGTTCTTGAATTATATGGGCATAAGGTTAGTCCAATAGTTAGTAAAGAAGAAAGATTTGACGTAAATTTCGCAGGTAATTTGTAAGGGTTTGCCGTCGTTAATGAGAAGAAAACTATCACTACATAAGCAAACCCTTTTTAAAATTTAAGAAAGAACGAATTCTCAGAACGAAATAACGAAGGGGAAAATTATGTGTGTAGTTTTAAAATTTTCAGAGCTTGGCACGTAAAGCTGGGTGGGGGGGGGGAATACTGAAGAAATTTAACCCATTAATTGCCAAATATTTTTCTCTAACTTTACTTTTATCTTTGGATGTCTAGACTGACAAAGAGACTCGGAATTGGATATAAGTGGAATATAAATAAAATCTGCCGTGAGCCTCAAATGCGGAAGGATATTCAAGTAGCCCTCACCGGATGACAATAAATAGTTACCAAATATCTTCTCAAATCGTTAGAGAACACAGGAGTTGGAAATGATATACACTGCGCAGAAAAAAAAAAAAAAAAAATAATAATAATTAAAAAATTTTAAAAAGAGCGGGACAGTTTTGTATCTCCCGTTCTATTGAGCCGATTGACGAAATTCAAATTGTGTTTTTCATGTCTTGAAAGCGCGACTTAGGATATATATTAGATTTATATGCAGCACTGTTCTAGAATAGGTATTTTGACACAAAATCGAACTTTTTCTGAAACGACATACCATTTTTTTTTTACATATTTCGATTCTACGACTCAAATTAGGACTAAATATTAAATTTGTAAAGTTTGGTGCGAAATTTGCGGAGAAATTCAAAAATTTATCTTGGCGCATTTTTTTTCAGTTTGAGCCAAGAATTATTCCCTTAATGAACTTCTTAATTTATAGCAACCTATTTCCCATTTCTTATTTTCCTTGTCCATGAGCGGAAAGAAAGGTCATCGTTCATACTTTCAAATAATTTTAGAAAAGTTCGTTAACCACATTTTCGTTATTATCGCTTATAATAAATACGCCAAATTTCAAAACGCGCCAAAATGTAAATTCACGTATATCTTATCTTAGGAAATTTTGAATAAAAAACCCTAATTTTTTTTGCAGGAATGCTTAGAAATACATCTACTTTAAGATGATGGTAAAACTTTTATAAATTATAATTCCAAATTTTTTTCGTTAAATTATTTAAAAATACAAATTTAAAAAATAAATCATAAAAATGTGCGAATTTTATTTGAAATGAACCTAAATTTCGAAATGCGAAAGGAAAAATCAAATAAGTTTAATAATAAAAGAGAGATTAATAAATGTATACCAAATTGAATTAACATGGAGGAGCTAAAATTGTGAGAACTAATTTTTTAAAAACTACTCGTGCGATTTTTACAAAATTTGGCACTTTGGCATAATTGAAGTCGTAGAATTGAAATATGGAAAAACATAGCATGTGATTTCAGAAAAAGTCCGATTTCGTGTCTCAATACCTATATTAGAGCAATGCGATATACAAATCTAATATACATCCTAAGTCGCGCTTTCGAGGCATGAAAAATGCAAGTTGGATTTGGTCAATCGGCCCAGAAGAACGGGAGATACAGAATTGTCCTTTTTTTTTCTTTTTTTGCGCAGTGTACATAATAATATGATAAACCGCGTTTTGAAAATGTTGAAATCTTGAAACTCACAAAGATTTTACTACTTCTCACAAATAATAGTCTTCAGCGCACTCATTTTACAACTACTACTCAACAACTCATGTAAAAGCTTGAGAATGGTTTAAACAACAATGTAAAAAATTAACCACTGTTGCCAACTTAATTAAAGTTACCAAATTTATTTCCGCTACCGAGACAGATCACCAAATGGGCATCATGGCATGTTAATAGGTTGGTGATAAATTTTAACAAAGAGTATTTAAAAGAGTATTCCCTTTTCTGAAATGATACTTTGAGAATCTTGTAGGAAACGAACCTTCTTTGGAAGCTAGAATAAAACAATCATATTCAAGAACATTTAGTGGATCAAAAACTTATTCTAGGCTGGCGTATTATGTTTACGCTGTTATCCAAAAGTTTCTTTTGGACAGTATCCTTTTATTTTATTTATCTGTATGGCAACATCTATTATATTATTTCCTAAGAAATAATCTGTGGCAATGATATTGGCTTTTCGCCAGAACAGATCTCTAAACCATCGAGTGACGTTTCTGTTGATCAAGTCGGCGAATATTCGAAGACCGGTGAATGGGTGGCGAGGAATTGTTCTGGCGTTTGGCGTCAGTTCTGCCATGGAGGCCCAGAGACCTTCAGGTCTCGGTTTCTTGTATGTTTCTTCAAAATATCGCTTCAGGTCTTGTGGGTGTTGTTTATTGCCCCAAGCTCTCGGAATGGCTGGCCAAAAGCTGTTGGGATAGCGACGATCTCTGAATTCGCTGTCATAGCTTACCAGAACTCTTTTGTTTTCCTTCCACAATTGCCTGAAATCGAAAATGATTTTATTTAGTTTTTATAAATGTCTATAAAAGTCTTTCAGATTTTATATTACGTCCAAAAGGCGTTTTTTTAAAGTTTTCTGTGTTACCTTTAAGTATCATGTTCTTCGCACTTAAAACACATAAAATTCAATTCAACAGCAATATCACAAAATATTTAAAAACAGTATGTCTTTAGAATTTCCGGTAAGCAGTCTCGCGCACTGGAGATAAAAATGTTTCAGTATAGTGTTGCCACTGCTCGCTTTGAAATCGTTTAGTTTGTTAATCGAAATTTGTTAAAGTTTTACAAAAATTAAAATCTATAAAGAAGAAAGTCTGCGTATTTGTTCGCTAATACCTCATTCAGTTCGCTAATAACTGCTACAGCTTAAGAGATATTAATTAAAAACTTGGAGAAACAACAATTTTTCGCCCTCATTTTTCCGAGTGGCAACAGTCTTGCACGCTGGATATAAAAATCTGTTTTATTTCGAGAAGCGTTGCCATTGCTTGCTTTCAAATTGTAGAGTTTGTTAATAAAATTTCCTAAATTTTACAATGATATAAAAACAGCATTACCAAACATTAAATACATTATTCCCGATTTCTAAAACTTGTGGGAAGCCATTTCTACTGTTTCCATCTTTACGTTTTTAATCAGCCAAGATATTCATTAAAAACTCTGAAAACACTCATTTTCCTGAGTGGCAGCAGTCTCCCGCGTTTGTTTGTGTGTTTGATTGTTTGTTCGCGTTATTGTTTTCGATCAATTATGATAAATGTTTTGCCACATTCATTCGATTGAAATTGAATATAGGTGAAATATTAGATGGAACTTGAGCTTTTACAACCATTTGATTAGAAAGACGAAAATCATTCAAAACTGCGTGCCATTGTGGCTGATATAATGAGAGAAAATTAGTTTATTCTTGTACCGAAATTTTTTATGTGGGTTCCATATCGCCTCAGAGGGAAAAATGTATGATTAAGAATCGTATTTTTTGCATCGTTATTAGAGAAGGTTCATAGCGGTATCGTTCTCTCTGCTATTAGATTCATTACTCTCAATCTAACTAAACTGGCATTGGATACTTCCGCTAATAGATAATGAAATAAAATCTAAATTCAAATTTCGGGCTACCAAGTACCCATGTTCGATTGGAGGACGAGTTATTCAAAATTGGATGGGTGTAGGTACCTTTTTTTCTTCACAATGCGAGAAATATTCATGCAAATTCTTCATTATGTAGTTTCTTTAAATATAACTCATGGCGATAATATTCGGTGGCAACAGTTTGAAAGGTGAATCAACTCAAAATGGCGATTTGAAATTAATGGACTTTTGGGCTAAAAATGTACATCTTTAAGTAAGGTATGCTTTCGAAAGTGATTACAAACTCCGTCGAATTTCAGAAACACTCATAAAAATAAAAATTTAAAGCAATAACCAAATTTTAGTACAAAATATTAGTTGTGATTAAAATTAAAATTAACAAATTTACATTGCGGTAATTAATAAATTATGGAAACTTGAACTGAGAAAGTATACAATTTAAAAAACATAAATAGAACTATATTTACATATTTATGAATGTATAAAAAAGTAAATAAGTATTTATAAAATTTATAAAATACATTAGTATTTAAACCCATGGTTCTTTTTACAGTCCTAAACTAGTACTTAAATCTCTCCCCGAACTTTAAGAGTAAATATTACTTATTTTATCATTTTGAGCCTCAGTAATATTTTAAAACTGAAAAATTGGAGAAAATAGTGAAATGAAAAACTTTTGAACAAAAATTGTGTTTTATTTTTATGTTTTAAAAATTTGAATGAAAGATTCGGCTTAAATCCGAAATAATATGGTAATGTTGTACAATTCCACGGTACCCTAACTATATTCTCATAGAACCGTAAAAATGTCACGTTTCGTCGTAACTTTTGAAATACTAAGAAATAAAGGTCAAATAAGAATTTTTTTTAGTCCTCCTCAGGGCAATAGGAGCTATTAATTTCGTTTTGGCACTTTGTGTTGATTCACTATAAATACCTGTTCACTTTTCAGATTGTTGCCACCGAATATTATCACCCTGTATTATATTTAAAGAAATTAAATAAGGAAGAATCTGCATAAATGTTTCTCGAATTGTGATAAAACAACAGTACTTAGAGCCATCCAATTTTAAATAACATAATCCTCCTGCGAATATGGGCGTCTGGAAGCCCATATTTAGAATCTGGAATTTTTTTTATTATCTACTTCATATTTTGTTCTTCATTTTTGTATCATATTTTCATTTGTCATTAACAAACTCAACGATTTCGAAGCGAGCAATTGCAGCACTGTACGAAAATTTTATAATACTCTAACTTCTGGTGAAGCATCACTAGGTAGATTGCTGTTGGTGCTGTGTTGCTGAAAATATCGCTGAATAGGATAAAACTTTCAGAAGCTACACCGTTAAAATTTCCCGCGTTTTCTTAGTTCACAAAATGCTAACCCAAGAAAACTACGGAAACACATTATTAGCAATATCCATACTTTCACGTGTGTAACTCACCTGAATGTCATACTATGATAAGATGGTGTACTAGGAATAAGGTAAGCTCCTAAGGTACGAACTATGATGTCCATCAGCCCATAATGAATAGATTCTTGGCTGAAACCGATGGGAAATTTGTGGAAATCGAGTATCACAACTTCTTTAGTAGCGTTTATGAATTGGAGCACCTGAAAATGCAGAAAATAAAGTGTTAATCTGATAAAAAAAATTATTTAAATAAGAAGAGCATAGAAATGGTAAATTTATAGTACTTGCAACCTACAGTACAGCTCCAATTATCCGAAATCCGAACCGCTTTCAGGATTTCAGAACGTTTTAGAATCAGCTGAAGAAGAAGCTGATGAAGAAGAGGAGAAAAAGGAAAAAGAAGCTCAAGGAAAGGGAAGAGACAGGACAAGATGAGGATGACGTGACACTGGAGGAATTAAAGAAACATTCTTTTGAAAATTCCTGGATGTTCAGAAGTTAGTGCTGAGGATACAGGAGAATGGTGTATGATTCATCAGATCCTGAGTTTCAAATTCTAAATGATGAAGAATTTATTGAAAGCGTGAGAGAAGAAAGTGTCGAGGAAGAAGACTATCTTAATGTCGAAGCTGAAGCACACAGGGAACCATCAGCTAGTGAAGCATTTGCCGGCCTTGAAAATGCGCTGAAGTGGTTGGAACGTCAGCCCGAGTGTGACCACATCCAAATTCTCATTGCCAAGCGGATGCGCGACTTGGCTGCCCAAAAACGGATGAAGACAGTCAGACAGATTACTTTGATCGAGAGGTTGAGCAAGCAATGACTTTCGGCACTTGTACGTACTGTACAGTACGCTATACAAGATGTACGTAAAAGCGTTGCCTTTTCGTTTTAATTAATTAAAACCACTTTTTCTTTAAAAATAGGTTTTCTCTGATTTTCAACATACAGTATATAGTAATTAATTAAAGTGTACGTAGATCCTTTCTTCGGAAAAAATCCAATTATCCGAATGGGGTCCGGTCGCAATGATTCAGATAACTGGAGTTCTACTGTATTTTATTTTCACATTTATCCCGAAATTTCCTAATTTTATAACAGTCCTTGAAATTTGTTCTGAAGTAGAATAGTTCTTGAAATTTGTTAGCATGAAGATATCCTTACCGAAATTATCGTACTAGGAGTTTAAACTCTAAAATGACAGGAAATATTTTCATAGTCTCGAAACACTGTTTTGATTTGGTTTACTTTTCATTTATCGCTGTTCAGGTCATATGTAAACTTTAAGTTTTCCGCCGGAAATCAAAGACCAGTACCAATACTGTAGACATTCCCACCATCGGCAGAACGGTAAAAGCCGCTGAATACTAGTACTTCGGTCCGGATTCATGTCCCGGCGAACGGGCTGGTTGCGTAGGCATTTTCGATGTTTTCTCTATGTGTAACGTGGATACGAGCTAGTTTGCCGTAGAAAAGTCTCTACGGGACATCCCTCGCTATCCGTGTAGTGCCTAAGGGTGGAACACGTTGTAGAGACATTACGATATTTTGGAAGCTGAAGACGTTAAAAATAAACAATGCTCTTGCTGGGACTCGAACCACGAACCTCTTGAATACGCGTCATACGGGCTGACCACTACACCATGAAGACATGCTAAGAAGGCCGGAGAAATACCTTATATTCTCCCCCTTTAAAAGGTGACTGGGGTAGGGCACCCATTCACCAAATCCTGGCGATAGAGAATCATCATTCAGCACCTTTTTTAAATCGGGGGCCACTGTAGAGATATTAGGTTATTTTGGAATCAGAAGACGTGAAAAATGAGCAAGGCTCTCGCCGGGACTCTCGAATGAACCTCTCGAATACGCGTCGAGCATGCTGACCACTTCACCACGAAGGCACGCTAAGAATATGGGAGAAATACCATATAACGTAATAAGTAAAAAAATACTCTAGACATTCTAAAAAAACGTAAGATAATATTCTTTCACATTGAATCTCTCTGTTATTAATCAACAAATTAAACTACTTAAAAGCAATAGACGCAGATTTTAAGAATATTATTTGTTTACCTTTTAGTAGGGTTTATTTAAATAAAAATGCATTTAATTCATGATATATCAAATTCGAAACATTAAATATATTTAATGAACTACATTGCATATTTTTTTCTCTTTTTTATGTATACAAAACATATACAATTTTCCCATATTAGTCTGCTTGTATATTCATCTGATATCCTATAAAATGTTTCGCCATTGCACCTGGGCCATGTCTATCGATAATCTGTACTCAGAAACCATGTTAAACTTTAAAAAGAGCCTTTTGGGCTATTGCCAAAACCTGAAACCTCTCAGATTTTTTATTTTTAAGGTTTTTTTTTTTTCTTCTTTTTTTGTTCATGTTGTGGAGACATTAGGTTATTTGAAAGCAGGAGACGTAAAAAATGAGCAATGCCCTCGCCGGAACTCGAACTACGAACTACGAAACAACCTAACCTTCTGCAAGTAGTAAACAAAACTTTTAAACATAAACAAAATATTTAAAAATTAAATTAAAAAAAAACTTCTGGTTACACTAAATTCACACTCATTAAAATCTCCGAGATAAAGCTCTCTGTTTGCCACAAGAAAATACACAGCCGAAGATACAGCCGGAAACCACAACCAAATCGAAATCGCGCCAAATAAAAACTCTCGCCAAGTTTCGCGCTCAGCCCGCTTATGGAAAATTAACCGAACAGGTCTGTAAGAAGATTGAATGTTGAGAGCTTTCATGAGTATTTAACATATTATCACGTTGATAATAAAACTGTCGCCAAACAAAGCGATTTAGACATGCCGGACCCATGTTGATCTTTCCCGAGCCTCCACAGCCACTAGGTATACCCCCATGGCCAAGACTGCCTATATACAGATCCTAGCCAATTGCTTCACAGAGGTACTCTACATCGACCCCCCCCCAGGGGGCGGAGGCACATTATGTAAAGGAAGTCTTTAGTAAACTTATTTGGGTAAATTATAAAATGACCTTGTATTATTTTAGCAATATTTTTGTAACATTTTGAAATACACGCATAGAAAAAAATGGCTTGTTGCTTATTTTAGGATTCTAATCATTTGATGATTTCGTTTACTTAATCTTGATTAGTAAATGATTTATGCACGAAGAATAAATTTCATGTTTCTTACCTCATGAAGGACGGATTTCACCGAATGCTCTGTCCTCAAGAAATTGTGATTGATGTAATACTTCTCCTCGCTGTGGGTGTAATAACCAATTCTCAAATCAAAATATCTGAGTCCGTATATCAGTTGACTAAATATGGATTCATCCTGAGTGTATTTGTATCTTTGGATGGCTTGCGTCGCTTTATGAAAGTAGAAACTGCCTGAATCGTGACTGCCAGGAATCATGGCTTCTGCCAGCGTCAGTTTGGATAAATATCTGGAATGCTTTTCCATCCAGAAAGGACGAATTCGAAGACAAGATGAAGAAAGAATTTTTCCTGGAACGAAGATCAGTAGAATGAACACATGCATTGTGAGTTTTAACTAGCATTTATTTTCTTCACGATTTTTGTCAGTTATAAAGCAGATTTTCAGCCACACGGATTGTTTTGAATGCAGAGGGCAGATTAATAGTTTTGATCAGGAAGAGATGGAAGTGTTCGAATTACATCCCCTGTCAGAAACGTTCCAGGACTTTTTTTATTTCTGAGTTTGCGGTATTAAAAAGGAGCAAATGTTGTTTTTATATTACCTGGTATGTATTCTTACTTGACGTGACCTTGGCCATGTTTCCATGCAAACTTACAAGGTGGTAGGGCTATGCTTAGCATCACACAGTTATTATTAAAAATCTGATGTGTACACCACATGATTTCTTGTACGGAATATTAAATTATACACATTTTTTCTTGCATTTCATTTAAACTTATTGGATTGAATTAAATCAACTTCGTCGACCACAATAGACAATATGCACTCTTTAAAATTTACTATATTTGTTTGCCTTACCGACACTCTGGCCCTAGATTCACTTAACAGCATTGCATTTCATTCATTTTTTAACTCAGGACGAACAAAATTTATACCATCTTAAGAATTACCTAATTGTTGCCACATGTTCTATTTAAATACTAATAATAAATCTAAAACGATGTATAAAAGAAATTAACCAAACAACAACAACAACAAAAAAAAAAAAAAAAAAAAAAAGAAAGACAGAAAGAAAGAAAAAAAGAAAGAAGGAAAGAAACAATTATTCACAAACGATTTAGTATTTCTCATTCAATTAATTAAGTTTTCACTTCGCGACAAGGCAAAATACATAAAAACTCAAAATATCTGTATTGAAAATGATGAAGTGAATCATAACACTTATTTCCTCTAATAAATTCCAGAATGGATTAAGCATGATTTTATTCGCAATTAATTAAAGAAAGCATTATCTTTGTTACTTCGAAGCTTACTTTCTTTAGATTGGCAACAAATCTACTGTTCTGCTGTTTCAAATATAAACAAACATTTCCTCCTTATCGAAAATAATTAGGCTTAGCGGCAAAAATAATTAGTCCTTAAACAACTTTTAAATTGTTGATAATTCTAAACATATTGCATGCAGATTTACTAAAGGCATAAAAAACTTAACCGAAAGATAAGAACAACATAATTTAATCATTTTTAAAGAAAAAAATGCACAATTTACAAACATATAAGAATAAAGAAACAGAGATCACTGAGCCAAGTAACAGAGTGAATATATATATACATATTGTTATAGACTTTTGGTGTGGCCGATTGTAACCAAAATTCGAAGTGCACATCTACATGTTATAGCAGTCCTACACACATAATGTTAACGTTCTGAGGCTATTCGTTTTTTGAATTATGGGAGATACAGACGCCACGAAATATTCTCTTTAGAATTCATTTTAAATCAGTTTTATAATTTTGTCGGGGAAAAAAAGAGTCCTTTATTCTTGCCTTACTTGCAGATGTCACACAAAAAAATCGTTAACTTGCATTCGATAGCGATCAAAATGGATATTTTCGTTGAAATATGTTGCCTGAAACTTTTCGCGATTACAATACTTCTTTTTTACTTCGTACAAGGAAGTAAAAAACAATTAACATTCATTCTTACATACTATCTAAATTTCTTTTCGTTATGCATTTTGGACTTAATATAATTTAATTTGATGACCAAAAACTTACCGTTTTTGTTACTGTAAGCAGCCCAGTATCCTAAGCAGTGTTCTTGACGTAAGCAACTCATGTTAAAAAAGATAACTGGAAGTTCTACGTGAGTTTTAAAATAGCCATCAGGATGACTAGAAGGATTAATGGATATGATGGGCTCTATTAATGGATTTAATTCGGGATCCTCTGTGTAAACACCAACACTGTCACCTGGAGATGGCTGGCCTCCAACCCAGTTCACTTCGAGTTGCCTCTTAACAATCCCATCCTGCGTGGTCGAAACCGTAACTGAAGAAATCGTGATGAAAACTTGGATTCTTTTAGCTGCACTTCTGAGCATGTAGCATTCTATGGAAAACAGGGATGGTTAAATATAAACGTAGAATTGAAATAAGTAAATTAATCTAATTAAAAATTTTAGCTTTTTCTCACAGTTGAAAGGAAAAAATAAAACAGGAGGAAGTATTTTTTTTTTTTTTTTTTTTTTTTTTTAAAAGATTAAGTTCAATAAATGCTTCCTAACTTTCGTCAGATTCTGACTCAAGTTGAAAGCTTCTAAGACATAGACATGATGAAACATTTAATGTAATGTCAAATATTCCATAATTTGTAAATATTTGTTGGTTTTCTCTGGCGTGTTTTTGACTGCCATCGTCTCCGGCTTTCATCCTGATATTTTATCAGTACGTTATAAGGTATTTCTCCCGCCTTCCTAGCGTGCCTTCGTGGTGTGGTGGTCTGCACGCTGGGCCTGTATTCCAGAGCTCCGCGGTTCGATTCCCGGTGAAGGCATTCCCGGTGCATATTTTTCATCTTTCCTTCTTCCAAAAAATCCTAATGTCTCTACAGTGGCGCCCGAACTAAAATGGTAGTGGATGAGGATTCTCCCCACCCAGGATTAGGCGATTGGGTTCCTTAAAAACCACAGTCGCCCTTTAAAAGCGGGAGTATATTAGGTATTTCTCCCGCCTTCCTAGCGTGCCTTCGTGGTGTGGTGGTCTGTACACTGGGCTGGTATTCCAGAAGTCCGTGGTTCAATACCCGGCAAAGGCGTTGCTAGTTTTTCATCTTGCCTGCTTCCGAAAAATCCTAATGTTTCCAGAACGTGTTCGCAGTCAAGACGGAGGAGCTCTTTTATTTGGCAGCTAACGGCGTTGCCTGATGTTGTACCTAGGTACTGCCTCGCCTAAATATCTTATGGTATTAAATTTTCGGAATGTTAAAATGTTCTGCGTTTCCTACGACATCCACTGTAAAACAGAACACATAGGAATTGCTTGAATTCACTTTCAATGACACTAAAAGAATGATTATTTGCTTGTTTTACGTATCGGTTGATCTCTACAACTATATGTAATATCATGTCTTCAGCCATCGTGTGAAAATGTTCATGTGGAGTTTTTCCTGACACCACATTTTGAATATTTTGATGCTCTTGGAAAGGATCATAGCTGGGCCAAAGCATAAGTTGGGGTTCACATTTTTTTTCCACTTAGGGTCTTTTATATCAAAATTACGTTCTGCATAGTTTTTTGATGAAACTGCTATAGTTCCTGAGATATCTTCTATTCCAGATTCGCTACGAGTTACTGATATGATACAGTTTGTGACAGAATCATCTATTTTTCATCCCTAACTAAATCAGGTACAGAGGGGCAATAAGTATTTCAAGCTCCCCAATTTTTTCATCATCGAGAGAATTCATATATTCAAGAGCCTCTAGACCTATTAGAAATTTTCTTTCCATTTTAAAAATATTGATTTACTTTAGAAAAACATACTGGGGACTATTTCTCGCAAAAGAACAAGCCTTATACCTATGCAGTTCCATAGAAATATTTCACCTGACATTGTAGAGACATTAGCTATTTTGAAACAGGAAGAAGTGAAAAATGAGCAACGGCTTCACCGGGAATCGAACCACGGACCTCTGGAATACGCACCCAGCGTGCTGACCACCACACCACGAAGGCACACTAAGAAGGCGAGAGAAATACCTTATATAATCCCCCGTTTAAAAGGCAACTGGGGTTTTTAGGGGACGCAGTCACCAAATCCTGAGTGTGGACAGTCATCTTCCACCACCCTTTTAGTTCGAGCGCCAGTGTAGGGACATTAGGTATTATGAAACAGGAAGAAGTAAAAAATGAGCAACGCCTTCGCCGGAATTGAACCACGGACCTCTGGAATACGCGCCCAGCGTGCAGACCACCACACGACGAAGGAACGCTAAGCAGGCGGGAGAACTACCTTATAACCTCACAGTTTTGAATGCCCACAGGGGCACCATTAAGGTCTAAGATCAAAAAGAAATTTTCCATGCTAATTTCTAGTGAGAATGTTTATCTATTTTATACAAAAGTAACACCTACTACTACCATTTCCAGAGAACTATTACATAGATGAACCTTCCTTTACTGAGAAAACCCTGTTTAGGAGGTTTTGTGACATTTTACACTTGTAATTTAATACAAAAGATACCCAAAGAAAATTCTGGAATAATCTATTATCGAATCGTTTCATATGTCTCTCTAATGTGATTGTATGATTAGCTATTGTTCCAAATTGGTTTGAAGGAATGTGATTCATGAATTGTAGTGACGAATGAAAAAAAGTTGAGGATCAGACCATTGTCTGGTTTACGGTGTAAAGATTATCTTAATATATCTAATAGTTAAATTTTGAGTTAAAAGTTACTGTCCTATCTTTTCTGAATTTCAAGCACACAACTTCCGGCCAGAACGTACTTTTAGAATCGCGTTGGAATGAAAATGATGAGAAGTATTTAACTATGAAGTTCTACTGGCTTCGTTAGAGAGAACCAGTGATTCTGACTAGTGCGCGGCCACCTTTTTAGGCTATTCTCTTGTAAGCTATTATTACGCTCGGATGTACTTTAGGGGCTCTTGATAGCTTCGCCGTTATTTAGCGTTAAGGGGCCAACTCTGTTAGAATCTTGATAGCTTCGGCTATATCTTTTTAACTAAGATTAGTTTAGTGCTTAGTTTTCTGAGTTCAAGCCAGAATGGAGGCTTCATTGTAAAACACCAAAAAAGGAGTTCTGTAAAATTAATTTCAAATAATAAGGAGGGGTGCAGGTGCAGCCATAGTGACGTCAGTACGCGTGGATAGACGCATCCGCCGACAAGCTGTGGCGGTCCCGCAAGTCACTTGTACCGCGATTCTGCAGCATGTGCAAGATACCCTGGATGTTCCCGTGTCGACCAGAACCATTTCCCGTCAATTGGTTGAACGTGGCCTGCACTCACGGCGTCCGTTAAGAAGACTGCCATTGACCCCACAGCACAGACGCCAGCGTTTAGAATGGTGCCGGACTGGAGCGATGTGGATGACAGAATGGCGAAACGTCGTGTTATCAGATGAGTCACGCTTCTGTTTATCCAGTGACAGTCGCCGCATACGTGTGTGGCGTCGTCGTGGAGACAGATCCGGCAGTAACTGTGGAACGCCCCACCGCGCGACAACGTGGCATAATGGTTTGTGGGGCACTATTGCATACGATTCCAGGTCACCTCTAGTTCGTATTCAGGGCACTATGACGTGGTTGAAAGGGAATGGACAGCCATCCCTCAGGACACCATCCGCACTCTTATTGACTCTATGCCTAGACGTGTTTCTTCGTGCAATCGCTGTCCGCGGTGGTCCTACATCCTACTGAGCCGCATATATAAGTGCAATTGTAAGGTTTATATTTAAAAGGTAATTTGTCAAATACGAGTAGCCGCACAAATTGTTACTACTATTAACCAAATTTTGCATATGTATGTTATTGTAATAGACCTACTGTTTGGCGGATAACCAGGTATCTTTAAAGTCATAATTCTATAATCTTATTGTGATCAACTATGTAATTGTATGTTAACCTATGTAAAGATTCTGCCTTTGTTTGGCACTGTACTTTTTATTCCTGGAAACAAATTACACTGGACCCGGCATTTTGGCTTAGAGTATTCCTCGGGAGCACTTTGGTCGGCTGGACTGCTACCCGGATGAATAGGGTGCTGGGTCTGGGCGTCTGGTGCGAGTCTCACTTGTGGCCTTATTCTGGCCTTGCTCTGGATATTGGAGGACGTGGCTCTAAACCAATTAACCATAACGGTAAAGGGATGGTGCCCACGTCCCCCGTTCCTAATCCTAATCCTAATCCTACTGAGCCGACGCTGTTCTCGCTCTGTATTCTGACTATCATTTTGAAATAAAGATCACTTATTGCTGCTTGCTGTCTCTGTCGTTTTTCGAAATTTCATCACTTTCTGACCACTCCTTCTTGGTGTTGCTCTCTCAATGTCGAACAGTGTATATACTTTCTTAATCTGAATTATACTCAATACATTTTTTTCAGTAGGAAGTTAACATTGTGGACATTTTATTTGGTTAAAATTTAACGGATTTTACCGTAAGCGCAATGTATTGATAGTGTAATCACCGCTTTTAACAATGCTTTATTGTAAATAGATTACTTTTTTACTTACCAAATTTGTTGAATTTGCTGAAGTGCAGAGATGTGGAAGAACCAATCATCAAGAGCAAGATAATAAGACTTAAACAAATCTTTAGCATCTCGAAATGTGTAGTTGATTACGTGTTGTTTTAAGTACCTAAAAAATATTAAAAACATTAATTTCCGTTTTCCCCCCTTTTTTGTATATTGACGTTTATTTCTTTCTTTCTTAAAAACACAATCATGTGAGATTACGTAACATGACGACAGGAAGTATCACTTTTATTATTTTCTTGAACCAAGTAAAGGAAGTATGGTAATCACTAAAAATTCCCGGTATCACATTTCAAAGAAAGCATCCATTTTGACCGCCATTGAATGCAATTTAACGATGTTTTCACTTGACATCTGTACGTAAGGACAGAATAAAGGACTCTTTTTCAACAAATTTCATTATAAAACTGATTTAAAATGGATTCAAAAGAGATTTTCTCGTAGCGTCTGTACGTACGTATGTATCTCGCATACTTCAAAAACGTATATAGGACTGCTATAACATGTAGCTGTGCACGTCCATTTTCAGTTGCAATGAGCCGCACCAAAAGTATATAACTATGTACATCCACTCTGTTCCTCAGTTCAATGAGCTCAGTTACTTTATTCTTATATATTTGTAAGTTGTGCATTGTTTGCTTAAAAATGATTAAATTATGTTGTTCTTATCTTCTGGTTAAGGTTTCTATGCCTTTTGTTAATATGCATGCAATATTTGTAGAATTATCAACAATTTAAAAGTTGTTCAAGTGCGGCTACGCCTAATTTTTTTTACCATAGCAGCCATATTTGTTTACATTTGAAGCTTAGCAGAATAGTGAATTAAGTCTTTCTGCATGTTCATTATCTTTTGGCCGAGTAGAACCAAAAGGAAACTTTTGGCTTTGTGTTGCCTTTTTACTGCCTTTTTACCTGCTGGCTGAATGTCTTGTTTTTGCGTAGAAACTGCAATTTTAATTGTGAAAATTGTTTTTTTAATTGTTTTAACTGTTTTTTGTAATGTTTTTCTATAACTTTCAATTTTTAATTAAAAGGTTTTGAGTTTTTATACATTTTTGGCCTTGCCTGGAAGTGAGAACTGAATTAATTGAATGAGAAATGCACCTGTAATGAAATTCGACGGAGTAGGTTTAAATGAAATGCAGGAGAAATGCCTGTAATTTAATATTCCGCACATGGAGTTCATGTGATGTGCACATGAGATTTTTTCCTTTGTCATGTATTTAAGTTTGTTATTTTGTTTCGTAAAAATGCAGTCGTATGAGCTTACGTAACGTGACAAATGGAAGTATCGTTTCTACATTTCATTGTATGGAAGATCTCCTTTTTAGATTTATTTAGTTATTTATTGTTGCCTGCTGATATTTTCGTATCAGTTATTAGCTGAGAGCTGTTTATTTGTTTAACGATATAAATATTATCTTCCACAACATTTTATCTCGGGACCCACTCATTAATCATATCATTATCACATTCATTAGATTTGTTAAAGCGAGTAATGTGAAATTGTGAACTTTCAACTATTACCGTGTCTCCCGATTGCTCGTCGCACGTGCTTCCAATCACACCACGAAGGCCCACCAGCAGCCGAGCAGTAAAGTCGCTGATCACTCGTAGTTCGGTCCGAGGTTCGAATCCCGCTAATTGCCGGTTGCATGAGAGTTTTCGCGGTTTTCCCCATGTGTAACGTGTATAACGCATTGCGTTTTGTTCCGCATGTTAGACGTAATGTGCCTAGGTGCGTTTATGTTAAACATAGTGCGTTTTGATTCTCCCGTGCTCTCATGTATTTTTCGTTTTATTATATAAGTAGTTTTATGCGTTTAATCTAATGTGTGTGCTTATATATGTTTTATGCTGTTTAATGTATGTTTTATGCTGTTTAATGTGTGCTTATATATGTCGTATTGTGTGTACTTTGTATAGTGTACTGTTATGTTTTGTATATTTTGTGTTGAACTGTGTTTACTCTATGTATATTTATTTGTCATGTTTTTCAAATGTTTGTGCTTAAACTGCATGTATGTCTTACCATTAAGATGCCAAATCGTATGCTACCAAATATCATTGTACACTTAAGACGCCCCCCTGTTTGGGCCACGTGAACAAACTATATTATAACTCCAGGCCTCTTGCGGCTCCCGGGAGTTGTTGCCTCTAGGTAGGGGAGGGAGTGGGACACATGCCTGTTTACCTCTGTTAAACATTAGGCGTCCCCGTCCTCCGTCACCTGTCACCTGTATGCGAGCCAGTTTCCCTTAAAAAGTGTCCCTCAAAGGCATCCCTCCTCTTAAGCAGATAGCCCTCGAGGCTTTACCATAATCACATAAAACCAAAAACCAAACCAATCACACCACGAAGGTACGCGGTAAAGGCAGAGAAAGTATCTTACGCACTTATCTGGCACTAACATCACTATTAAATCCATGAATTTTATTGTGATGAGGAACGCAGGATTGTGCCTGTGGTTGGTATTGGCTTTAGGAATCTTGTGGATGACAGTACAACGTTTCTCAATCCCATTCCAGTTTTGAAGGAAAATCCCCGGAAAGGACAAGTTCAAGAACCCTGTTTCTCAACCGCCAAATTACTCGCGAAGACTTTCGCTAGCTGTGCATTTTAAATGCTACCCTGCCCTCAAAGACATTATACATTTACAAGGATCCAAGCTTTCTCCGGACTTGGAGATCATGTCCAACGATGAGGCACCAGCAACGCTAACTACCATACCGATCACGGCGGCTTACCAGAGTTTACTATGGATATAACATTCCAAGATATTCTCATGAGGACGAATGTCGTGAAAACTGCTGATAGTTGAGAGTACCTGTGATTTACCATAAGATTAGATGATCCTCATCCGTTCCTAGGCCATTAGCTTTCCGCGTACATTCCTAAGATTGCCGCCCCAAATTAAAAAAAAAAAAAAAAAAAAAAAAAAAAAAAATGCTCATTGATAAATAAAATGTTTATTTCATACTCAACTAAGTGCTTACAAGCAATTTAAAATATTTAGCCGTGGTATCGCTTCTGTTGCAATTTTCTGCGAGCATTTTCACTGAGAAATATTTCTGTAACACTGTTTCAGTAGACCTGTAAGAACAAATAAGTATGGCTTTTGCATTTTTCAACGGTGGTGTCTTACCCTAATTATAGCTTGTCCAAAAGATAAATTAAATTCTCAAATAAATGTTAATGATTTCAAGTATTTTATATGCGCAGCATATCTAAACGAGAAAATACCGGAAAGAGAACTATTAGGCGTTCTGGAATTTATTGCGGCGTTCTTTATAAGGCATTTCTCCCGCCTTTTTGGAGTGCCTTCGTAATGTAGTAGTCAGCACGCTCGGTGCGTATTCGAGCAGTCCGAGGTTCGAGTCCCGGCGAGGGCATAGCACATTTTCGATGTCTCCTGCTTCGAAACAACCTAATGACTCTACAGTGGCACCGCCCAAACTAGAAGGTGGTGGATGATCATTCTCTACAACCAGGATTTGGCGATTGGGGCTCCTAATCTCCAGTCGCCCTTTAAAAAGGGGAGTATATAAGGTATTTCTCCGCCTTCTTAGCATGCCTTCGTGGTGTAGTGGTCAGTACGCTCGGCGCGTATTCGAGAGGTCCGAGTTTCGAGTCCAGGCGAGGGCACTGCTCATTTTCCATGTCTCCTACTTCGAAATAACCTAATGTTTCTACAAAGTACTTACATATGACAAAATGATGTATGACATGTACCTACAATGAATTTAAAATATTTAGGCGTGGTATGGCGAGAGTCCGGCTGCTCCTGATTTTGTCCGCTCGCGTATTTTTACTCGTTGCACCCCCGTTTAGAGCGGCCCTGCTTCTGTTGCAATTTTCTGCCAGCATAAGGTATTTTCACGATGAAATGTTTCTTTAAACATTGATGTTTCAGTAGACCTGTAAGAACAAATAAATGTGACTTTACTTTTGCATTTTTGACGGGTAGTGTGTTACCCTAGTTATCACTTGTCCGGAAAGTAAATTAGATGAGTAAATTGTGAAATAGACGTAAATGATTTGAAGTATTTTATATGCGTAAGAAATTTAAATGTGAGAAGACTGGAAAGGAAACTGTTAGGCGTTCTCGAATTTGTTGCAGCGTTCATTATAATGTATTTCTTCCGCCTTCTTAGCATGCCTTCGTGGTGTAGTGGTCAGCAGACTCGGCGCGTATTCGAGAGGTTCGCGGTTCGAGTCCCGGCGAGGGCATTGCTTTTTTTTTTCATGTGTCCCTGCTTCGAAATAACCTAAAGGTTCTATATACTCATTCTTCGCATTTCCTGGATCGACTCTGCAGTGCCGGCCGATTTATAGTGTAGTGGACAATAATACGTCACTACCAGGATTTGGCGACTGGAAGTTGTCGCCAAGTCCATAGTCGCTTTTTAAATTGCGAGAAATGTAAGGTAATTTCTCTCTGTTTGCAGCGTGCCTTCGTGATGTAATTGGAAGCACATCTGGCCTGCAGATGAGAGATCCGAATTTCGAATCCTGGCAAAGGCATGGCATATTTTTGTTCTTCGACAAACGTTATGACTCTATACTTCATGAAATATATATTAGAGAAATATAATTTCTTTTAGTGGAAATAAATTGGCTAAGTTATGTTTGGAAGCAGGCAAAATAAAAAATTAGCAGCGCCTTTGCCGGGAATCGAACCGCGGACCTCTCAATTATTCGCCTAGCTTGCAGACCACCCCACCACGAAGGCTCGCTAAGAAGGCGGGAGAAATATGAGATAAAGTGAGTTGAAAAATTTAGATGGGAGCTTCTGTAAATCGGGTTTCACAAATATTGTTTAATATTAAATAGTGTTTATTATTGCATATGTTTAACATTCTAAATTTCGTACGAAAATGTTATATGTGTTTTTTTGTTTATATACAAACACAAACAAATATTTATGTACAATTTACATGTACAAATGATAAATATGGTCACATTAAACGATCTCTTATATTAATTTATATTGAAAGTGTTTGCTACAAATATTTTACATATACTCACTAATGGTAAAAAATATATTAGTTTTATTCATTTTCCTTCTACTGATTAAGCAATAGAAAAGAATTCCTGAGGTATTTCTGAGTACTTGGCTTAAATTGTTATAAAAATGAGGATTTTGCTGAGGAAATAATAAAGGAATTTGCTTGAGTCTTATTGACAAGTGATATGAAAGTTTTATAAAGTCAGTCGTGAAAGGTCAACAGTTTCAACTTTCTAAACTAATTTTTATAGAAGTTTTCAGGTTCTGAGAACACAAAAAGTTTTTAAAGTAATGCCATTTCTGGTTATCGTTAATGATATATCCCAATTAGAATTGCAGTCTCTAAAATTTAAAAACTATTGCAGAGTCATTAGGTTATTTTGCAGCAGAAAACACGAAAAATGAGCAATGCCCTCGTCGAGACTCGAACCCTGGACCTCTCGAATATGTGCCGAGTGTGCTAAGCTTTACACCACGAAGGCATGCAGAAAGGAAGGAGAAAATACCTTATATTAATATGGTGTGATCTGTTATGACCATAAGACCAACTTGTGCCGTTAGGTTGGTCGGACTGAGCCTATTTCTGGTATCTTATGCGCACGATTATCCATATCTATCATAATGTCTGAGGAAAATCAATGGCTAACGAATATCAGATGATGAAATCGCATCATTTTGAATAGATTCATTCTTTTAGAAGTATGGGTTTGGCAACAATTTTTCATCGTATTTCTTATGTCACTGTTTTTAAGAGATTGGCATATTTCATTGTCATTTTTTTATATATATAATACTCTGCAGAGTAATATTCAGTGCAGTTTTTAAATTTAATGTTTGGTGTTCCCTTCAGGCATTTTTCCGGTACATTTCAAAGCCAGACGAAGGCTGGCCGCATAGAGTCTAATATAAGCATAAAGAAACTAACTCTGTCTAAGAATCATTTATCCCATAAAAACATAATAATATTAATATTTACAAAAATTATTGAAATAGACCTAGAGAGTGTAAATTTACCCTTCATTTAATATGAAATATAGATAAGTTCTTCACAGATATATTGTATATACTTTTAATTTCTATGCTTTTAATCTTCATTTATTCTATATTGCTTCGACAATATTATTTTTGATAAGGCAATTTATATGACTTATACATGGAAGTAAAGAGGAAAACCTAGATGTCCTCAGGAACACTAATAAGACGAAGATTTAAAATCAAAAAAAAGTCTCCCTTTGAATTATTTAGTCGGTTCAGAAAGCTGAATTTTACAAATATCATTGACTTCGGAATTCAGTTAAAATTAAGAATTTAATTAATTTTTGGTTTTTCTCTTCCACAATTACTTACTTAGAGTGAAAATATGAATATTTTGAAAATGAGAAACTTGAGAAAAAGCTTTCATGCAATAATTTTGCACGTCCTATTTGGAAAGTATCTACCTCATACACGTTCTAATCGAATTCATTTTTATCGCTCATTATCGTTATCTGGAATGTCGTTAATTAATTCCAATTAAATTATTTTTTATTTCTATGATCTCCAAATCCAGAAATTTAAAAGAAATTAATTTTAAATCCTAAAAATGAACATTTCAGGTATACAGTAACAAATGATTCGTTAATATTACCTGAAAGATTTTTTCAAAAAACCAATTCTGCTCATATAATAAGTAAAATGAAACTGAAATTAATTATTCTAAATGAAACATTTATGTAATGGAACTTAATTGGGTACACTCGCAGAAAAGTGTATATAATATTCACTTAAAGTAATTTTTGTACTTTTAAAATTAATACTAATCCATCTTTTTTTAACACAAAGCGGCAATTTGCACAGAAAAGCTATTAATTTTGTTTTGGCACTTTGCTTCGTTTCACTATAAATAAATGTCGACTCACTTTTCGAATTGTTGCCACCAAATATTAGAGCACTACATTATATTTAAAAAAATTAAATAATGAAGAATCTGCATGCTTGTATGTATATTCCTGGCATTCTGAAAAACGACGGAACCTAGAAACATCAAATTCTGAATAACGTCTTCCTCCATTCGAATATGGGCATCAGGAAGCCTAGATTTGGAATTTGTTTTATTACCTATTTCATGTTTTGCAAAACTTTACCGAATTTTTGGTTAACAAACTCGATGATTTCGAAGCGAGCAATGGCAGCACTATACGGGATAAGGAATTATCTCTAGTGTGCAAGACATTGTATTGGAAATTCTAAAGATATGCTCTTTTAAAATTATTTTGCGATATTGCTGTTGAATTGAATTTTATAATTTATAATTGCGAAAAACATGATATTTAATAAGCAAGGGTAACACACGAAACGTTAAAAACGCCCCTTTAAGCCTGATATAAAATCTGAAAGCTCTCAGCAGATTTTCTTGTTAATGATTACGTGTAATAAAGTAGCGCAGCAAAATTAAATCTAAAACAGTGTAAGAACACATTAAAATACATCAAAAAATGGAGTACTCGGTAATTAATTATGATATTCTGAACTGATTGATAGGTTAACTCTGAAAGATCACGTGAAATCTATTTGACCATGAAACGTGCCTAGAAGTCTTCGAGAAAACCTGTTTAAACATATATTGTGCAGTAAAATAACAGCCAACACTTTCTGTCATCCCAAACAGGCACAGTATTGCCAGTATTTTAGCATTACGGCATTGTAAACCTATAAACTGTGCGCTAAGAAATGCGATAATTTGTTTAAAAGAACATGAAAAAAAATCTGTTCTGTACACCACATTACTTCCTTGTACGGAATATCAAATTAGACGCACTTTTCCCTGACTTTCATTTAAACTTATTTCCTCGAATTTCATTACAGATATATTTCTCATTCAATTAATTCAGTTCTCACTTCGCGACAGGGAAAAATGTATAAAAACTCAAAATATCTATATTAAAAAATTGAAAGATGTAGAAAAACGTAAAACACCAAACACAGTTAAAACAATTAAAATTACAATTTATACGCCAAAACAAGAAATTGGGCCAGCGCGCAAGAAGGCAGACTTTTTGGTGCACAAAACCGAAAGTTTATTTTTGGTCTCACTCCGCAAAAAGATACCGAAGGTGTATAAACTCACTTAATTTGTTGTGGACGCTATGCTGAGTTAATGTAAGGAATAATTTGATAACTTATATGATAATTCCAGAATGGATTAAGCATTATTTAATTCGCAATAATAAAAGAAGATGTTACTTTGTTGTTGCGAAACTTAATTTCTCTAGATTGGCAACAAATCCACTATTCTGCTAAGTTTAAAAATGTAAACAAATATTACCGCTATCGTAAAAATAATTAGGCTTAGCCGCACTTAAAGAACTTTTAAATTGTTGATAATTCTACAACTGTAACATGCAAGTTAACTAAAGAGATAAAAACCTGAACCGGAAGATAAGAACAGCATAATTCATTTTTAAAAAGCAGAAAATGCACAATTTACCAACATACAAGAATAAGGAAACTGAGCTCAGCATAATATATATATACATATATACGTAGATATATTAAAGAAAGGAGAACAAACTAAAAAATACCTTTGTGGTCAAGAACGTTTGCGTATTGAGCTGCAAAATTTAGAAAACAAGTTAAAAGAATATTCTTAGTGCTTTCGCTAAAAAGTAGTTTAGATACTGTGGTTCCGGTGAAAAAAAAAATTTATCATAAGTAAAATAAAGTGCAATGAAAAGTGTAAACATTAAATAAACAATATTATCACTAGAATATTTAGAAATAAAATTCAAATCTAATTGTATGTAATATGTTGATCAAGGTAAGGTAAACTTAAAATAATATAATAAAAGTGTGAAATAAGACTTAAGCAAAAATACAAAAACAAAAAAGCGGTACATGGTAGATTAACCCAATTCGAATCTCATTACCGACTCTTCAGGGAACATTTTATAACGATTTTCGAATCCAGCTAATTCCATATTGCGTTTCGTCGAAACAGACAATTTAAACTGTACACGAAACTCTTTTTGAATATTAACTGAAAAAAACTTAGTCAAAAACTTTAGTCTCAATTCTATACGTAGATATATATTTATACATATATTTATATATATTATGTATATATTTACATATATATATATACACATATATATTTAATATACATATATTTATGTATACATATATTATATATACATCTATTTATATAGTTTTGGTACTGTCAATTGCCCATCTACATGTTATAGCAGTCCTATATATAAAATTTCAACTTTCTGAGGCTACTCGTTTTGGAGCTATCCGAGATATATACATACATACATACTTCCGTATATACGTACAGACGCTAAGAAAGAATCTCTTCTGAATCCATTTTAAATCGGTTTTATAATTCGTTTGGGGGAAAAGAGTCCTTTATTCTGTCCTTACGTACAAATGTCACGCAAAAACATTGTTAAATTGCATTCGATAGCGGTCAAAGTGGATGTTTTCGTTGATATATGATACCCGAAATTCTTCCTTTTTTCTTCGTACAAGGAAGTAATTATTGACAGGTATTTTTATTTTTCGTCCAAACTCATCATACTTTCAATTCTATGTGCAAATTTCAAATGAACAAAGCAAACACACATAACGTAAATACTTCAAAAATTAAAGCACATAAATTGCAAAACATAAGAGCATTCGTTTAAACTGTCAATGCTTAGAATTAGTTACTTTCTCATTTTACACAAAAACCCCAAAAAAGGATAGTTTTATTTAGAAGGCATGTTGAGAAAACTTATATCCCCAAGTCTGCCGTAGAACTTAAATAAACATAATGAAAGAAATCTGCGATTTTTTAAACATTCTGGATGTAATAATATTATACTAAAATAAAAAAGCAAAAACTTAAATAAAAAAAGGAATAAAAAGTAAAAGAACCTTTACAAATAATGTCAGGCCTGGCGAATTTTTTGGTTGTCAGACTCGAAACAGAAAGATTTCATACGGCAGTCTTCTCAGACGATAACCGCATTAGTTGATCGTAGCTAACATAAGTAGGGATGCAGTTCTATTTATACCCTTACTTCTTATATTATTATCATTGTAGGTGTTATCTTATCTGCATAAAGGGAAATCGTTTTTCCTAAAGAGCTTTCAAGCTAAAAGTTTCTTTTCTTTTCGGCCAACTAAAACGTTTCCTTAAAGTTTAATGTCTTTTGCAGCAGGAGAAAATAGAGAATAATAAATCCACTATTTTTATAATAATAAAAATAATTCTATTATTTTCTTACAGTTTGAGGAAGGGTCTTCAGATTTTACGAAATGACAAAGGGAACGCATTTTTAAATATTCTATCGTATTGGTCTTCAAATAAAGACTACATCTTTCCGTACTTCTTGTGAAACCAATACTTGTCTCATTCGAACAGTTTAACATTTCAGAAATATGTATGCCGCTCAACCGGTATAGAGGTTAGCGTCGCTGACTGCCGTGGCAAAAGGCCCGGGTTCGAATCCCGTAGAAGGCATGGATGTTTGTAAATGTATAGTGTCGGTGCGGCATGGCGGAACTCTAAATATGCCACGAGCCGAAAGTCCTCTCGTATGTTTGGTGGAAGTCGAGAGGATTGGAAGATCCTCGGACCCGTCAAACCCGGCGTACTCTGGAGCGGAACTGAGTTAAATCGCACTATCACCTAAATGGTGCTCAAGGCTGTTGCCAAAGGCAGGCGTAATCTCGCGCCCCTTGCCACGAGGAATTTTGTAGGCTTGGGCTGAGAACGTCAGATAAGTTGGCATAAGCAGCAACAATAAAAACAGGTTATTCCAACAGGTTATAAAGACTTAGCTAAAGCATTTGGAAACATGTAGGTAAAAAAACCCCGCAGCGGTCGAGTGGTAAATACGCTGAACGCTGGTACTTCGCTCCGATGTTCCAATCCCACGAGAGGGCTAGCCGAATGGGCAGTTTTGTGGTTTTGCCCACGTGTAGCGTATATAGGAGCCAGTTTTCATTAGAAAGTCCTCCCCGAAGGCCTTCCTTTCCTTAGGCAGATAGCCTTCCGAGTGCTTTGTCATAATCTTCTAAACAAAAACCATATAGGGGTCTAAATTTCACGGCAGGAGGCAGTTTGGTAATCGGCAAAATGTTTTCGTTCGCTAATGTCAGTAGTTATTAAATATCATGTTCTACGTACTCAAACCATAAAATTCAGTTCAACAGCAATATCGCAAAATAATTCAAAAAGCATATCTTTATAATTTCCGATGCACGGTCACGAGCGCTGGAAATAATTTTTTTTTTTTTTTCCCGTACAGTGTTGCCATGGCTGGCTTTGAAATCGTTCAGTTTTTTAATCAAAAACTCATTGAAGTGTTAGAAAATATGAAATCGATAATATAACAAATTTCAGATTCAAATTAGGGCTTCACATACCCATAACCTACGGAAGATTACATTATTCAAAATTGGATGGCTCTAGGTACCGTTGTTTTATCACAGTGCGAGAAACATACATAAATTTATGCGGATGGTTTATTATTTAATTTCTTTAAATATAATACAGGGCTCTAATATTAGACGGCAACAATTTGAAAAGTGAAAGAACTCTTGTATTGAATCACACAAAATGCCAAAACGAAATTAATATCCCTTCACGGCAAATTGCCCCTTTGGACTAAAAAGAAAAACGTGTGATGATAAGCAAAAATCTTTAATTTAGACAGGGGGTGCTGCAAGTCAAAGAGGTAGATCACCCCAGATGAAATAAAAAGCCTGTCACGTTGATTTAAATACCGTGCTAACTAAATATCTGTCACTCTAAGATATTGAAATTGTTTTAAATAGTATTCCTCCAAACGCTTTACCGGACACGAGCGCAAATTAGCTTTTTGGCAGAAAAAAGTTTTAGAGAGAATTTTAAGAATAATAGATTATTTCATGTAGCGAGATTTAATGCGATACCAGAACAGGAAAAATATTGTGCATACGTGTGGAGAACGTCTCAAAATATTGTGAATACGTGTGGAAATTTGGAAGTTAGAAATGAACACCAGAAACTGGTTTTATTGTGCTGAAAACACTTACGTACATACGTAACATTAGAGTTAGATTGTAGAGACATTAGGTTATTTCGAGGCAGGAGAAATGGAAAATGAACAGTACCTTCGCCAGGACTCGAACCACGGACCTCTCGAATACGCGCCGAGCGTGCTGACCACTACACCATGAAAGCATGCTAAGAAGGCGGGAGAAATACCTTATATACTCCCCCCTTTTAAAGGGCGACTGGGGATTAGGGGACCCATTCGCTAACTCCTGGTGGTGGAGAATCATCATCCACCACCATTTTTAGTTCAGGCGTCACTGTAGATTCATTAGGTTATTTCGAAGCAGAAGACGTGAAAAATGAGCTATGCCATTACCGAGACTCGAACTTTGAGCCTCTGGAATACGCACCGAATTGTGCTAGAGGAATATCGATACTTTGCGAATCTTTCTTTAAAATGTCACGAAAATCGGCAGCTTGTGTCCGGTAAATAACTTTCTCCTTTCCCTGGGTAGAAAATCGCAAAATTGTGCTATTATGGTTGTGTTAATGCGTAAGTACCAAACTGATTCCCCATTTTTTGAAATTGTTGTGCTGTTTCTCCATAGATACTTTGTATCCTGTTACGGACTTTATATATCTTCTCGAAATTTTTAAAAGATAAGCTTAACACAAGAACCTTTAACTGATTAAGCTTATCTTATAACATTTACGTTTCTTGTTTTCGTTTTAGAATTTTAATTTAAAGTAATACACTTACTTTAAATTAAAATTTTATATTACATTTGAAATTTTGATTACGTTTTGATTACTTTAATGTATCATACTCATGTGAATTCATTCTATAACCATTCAACTACGGAATCTTACATAAAATGTTTTATTACATATTTGGTACAGATGGTAAATAATCTTTTGTTAATAATGAAAGAAAAATTTGTAATATTATTTATCAGTTTAATTTAAAAACCTTATGAACAAGAATACACCTAAATTACACATCATATATCATATTTTCAAGTTCCTATCTTAAATGTATCAAATGGAATTCACGAATAAAACTTACCTGAAAGATATATATGTACATAAATTTAAACATCTAAACTTAAAGGTAAATTAAGTCAAAGCAAGGCAATTTCTCAACAATATTAATAATTGCATCCTTGTATAGGAGGTTTAACACAATATCTAAACAATTCAAAATTTTAAAAAAAAAGGATCATAATAGTACAAACTCCGAAAATGAAAATGCAAAAAGGAAAGGATATACACGATAATAAAAATTAATCTCTTCTTACTGAAACTGCAATTCAGAATTCATCAGGGGAAATGAATTAAAGCTTCATAAAAGTTGATTAATATGTTTCGAATACATGTTTCGTTCTTCTGTTTCATTTGAGATCAAAAGCCAGAAAAAAGAAACAAATTTCATTACATTAAAATTCATATAAAACCGGAATGGGTGAATCTCAAAGATACCAAGATTTTCCCTACACACCTTCGAAACACTTGGAAAAAAGAATAAAGCATAACATTTTTTCAAATTGACTATACAAAAATAAAAACAAAAAAAAAATGCTTTAGATTATGTAAAATGACCATTTTAAAAAGATCAAATTGGTCTAAAATCATTATATGCATATATCATTATATCCGAAATTCGAAATCAAATATAAATATAAAGCGCAATTCAAATATTCTTTAAACCAAATAGTCATTTAAACAATATATATATATAAAATTATTCCATCGTACAATATATATGTAAAACATTCCATTCTTTCTAAAAGTGTAATACGAAATATGTTTAAATAAAGGAAGAATTATTTTCCAATTCCAATGTTACATGAGCAAAACCTTTAATAGAGTGGAATAAATACCATATACCCCCCCCTTTCTTTTACTAATTTTATCGTCTGGGAAAATCGAGAGGGGGCAATTATACGAGTAATTTAATTTCTGAAGGGCGCGGTTACAGTGAGAACATAACAAATGATAAGTAGTTATGGGTTAACTACAGGTAAATATCACAATATTATTTCTTTAAAAAATAACTGCTATTCAGTAAGAATACAAAGAGATAGTAACATTACAATATCTAATAAGATATATTCATTTCTACATCCCTCTAACTCAAGTCTTATTATTGCCTCTGCTACTCAGTAGGCCTCAAATCATCCAGAAGTAATCAGGAGACTTGAACGGGCATTTGACTCAGCAAAATCGTATGCTAAATCTCAGTTCGTGTTTGCTTCGCTGAGATGGGTCGCTGCTCCATTAGGCTGGCATAACATTCAACAGTTATAAAAGAAAGGTGCGAGTGAACGTCGAAAATAATTTACCGGGGTTTGTCTATATTAAAAAGGCGAAAACAGTCACTAGGTAAGACAAACCCATTTTAAAATTTAAAGAAGCTTGCTGTCTGAAAGCACTGAGGAGGGGGGAAATGACGCGTATAATATTTTTTAATTTTCAAAAGCTCTAGCTAAAATGCTAGGAGAAAAAAGCTGATGTGTACACCACATGACTTCCTTGCACAGAATGTTAAATTATACGCATTTTTCCTGCATTTAATTTAAACCTAGCCCCTCAAATTTCATTAGAGATGCATTTCTCATTCAATTAATTCAGTTCTCACTTCGAGGCAAGGCAAAAATACATAAAAACTCAAACCTTTTCATTCAAAATTTAAAGATATAGAACAACATTGCAAAAAACAGTTAAAACACTTAAAAAACAATTTTTACAATTAAAATTACAATTTCTACGCAAAAACAAAACATTCAGCCAGCAGGTGAAAAGGCAGCACAAAGCTAAAGCTTTTGGTTCCACTCGGCCAAAGGACAATGAATGTGCAGAAGGACTTAATTAACTATTCTACTAAGTTCCAAATGTACACAAATATGGCTGCTATGATAAAACAAATTAGGCTTAACCGCACTTAAACAACAATTAAATTGTTGGTAATTCTACAAATATTGCATGAAAATTAACTAAAGGCATAAAAACCTTAACCGGAAGATAGGAACAATATAATTAAATCATTTTTAAAGCAAAAAATGCCCAATTTACCAACATATAAGAATAAAAGAAATGAGCTCATTCAGTCGAGTAACAGAGTAGGTGTATATATATATATATTTATATACTTTTGGTGCTGCCGATTGCAACCAAAAAGGAGGTGTACAACTACATGTTATGCCGAATTTGAACGATTTGAGGCTACTCGTTTTTGAATTATGCAAGATACATACGTACGTACAGACGCCACGAAAAAATCTCTTCTGAATCCATTTTAAATCAGTTTTATAATTCGTTTTGTGAAAAAGAGTCCTTTATTCTGTCCTTACTTCCAGATGTCACGCAAAAAACATCGTTCAATTGCATTCAAAAGCGGTAAAAATAGATATTTTCGTTGGAATATGGTATCCCGAATTTTGTTGGATTACAGTACTCACTTTATTTCGCACAAAGAAGCAAAAAACCGGAGAAAATAGATATCACGCCTGATGATAGATGTTAATAAATGAGTAAGATGTTTTAAATGAGTAAAAATTCCGTTTTCTGAACTGATAGTTTGAGAATCTTGTGGAAAATGGACCTTCTTTGAAAGAGAGAACAAAGCAATGATGTTCTGAAGCATTTAAAGGATAAAAAATGTGTTCTATTTTGGCGTTTTTCATTTAGGATCTTATCCAAGAATCTGTTTTCGACAAGATCCTTTTATTTTATTTGTCTGTATGGCAACATCTATTATATTATTTCCTAAGAAGTAATCTGTGGCACCCCCCCCCCCCCCCCCCCCCCCCCCCCCCCCCCCCCCCCCCCCCCCCCCCCCCCCCCCCCCCCCCCCCCCCCCCCCCCCCCCCCCCATGATATTGGCTTTTTCCCAGTACAGATCTCTAAACCAGCGAGTAACATTTCTGTTGATCATGTCAGCGAACTTTCGCAAACCCATGAACGGAAAGAAAATAATTGTGTCCAGGCGTGGAGTCAGTTCTGCCATAGAGGCCCAAAGACCTTCAGGTCTCGGTTTCTTGTATAGCTCATCAAAGTATCGCTTCAGGTCTTGTGGATGCTGTTTATTGCCCCAAGCTCTCGGAATGGCTGGCCAAAAGTTGTTGGGATACCGACGATTTCTTAATTGGCTGTCATAGCTTGCCAGAACTCTTTTGTTTTCCTTCCACAATTTCCTGAAATTGAAAATTATTTTGTTTGATTATCAGAAATGTCTGTAAAAGTATTTTATTATCTATGTTTCAAGTAATTAAGTTTTTGCATTAAGTCAAGATTACTAAGTTTGTAAGGATCTTAAGTTTTACTAACGTTTATTTTATTTTAAATCTTTACTATCACTTCTTATTTTCTACTTCCGGCCAGAATTATAAGCGTGAAGGAGTTTATGCAAAGTTGTCTGGCGAACGCCAAGTATTTAAGTGTGGCCTTTTTTGCCAAGCAGAAGAGGAAGCCGTGAGTTCGAAGCAGGCCGCTTACCTTAGAAGTTACGCAGTTGCTACTTTGCCTTCCAGGCCAGAGGTTTTAATCCTCTTGATAAATTAAACGTATTGTAGTGTTCACAGTCTCTGTGCTACATACGCTTTCTGTTATTATAAGGCCAATCTTATTCTAAAGTTAAATTAGAGTTTAGTTTTATTTTGATATCTTTTAAGTTAGACCCCGAGTGGAGGGTCATTGTATTCCGAAGTACGGAAGTCATTGTATATAAAGAAAAAAATAAAGGGTTTTGTATACCCTTCGTCTGTATCCTGTCTACTTACTACAATTAGTGAACATAGCTTTAGTAAGCTCTCTGTTCTAGTCAGGTCATTGTATGTTTCCGAAGAAGGTTAGAAGAAACATCGAACCTGATAAGTTGTCTAAAAATGCGCAGCCTTAAACAAAGTTATGTTTCCAACATTGATTGTAAATTCAATTGAAAATAAACTCTCAAGAAAGTAAAAATTTAAAACAATAACCAAACTTTACTGGTAATAATTAGCTGTGATTAAAATTAAAAAATACAAATTTACATTGCAGTGATCCCTACTTATCAGAGTGCCTCCATAATAAAGTTGCCACCACTTCTAGTCTTAGAAGTGGCCAAGCCGAAGTCGGCTGAAGGCCAGTCATTGGGAGAAAAACGTTGCAGTGATTAATAAATTATAGAAACTGTAAGGTATTTCTCCAACTTTCCTAGTGTCCTTCGTGGTGTAGTGGTTCTGCACGCTGGGTCGGTATGTCAGATGTCCGTGGTTCGATTCCCGGTGAAGGCGGTTGCATATTTTTCATCTTTTCTGCTTCCAATTAACCTAATGTCTCTACAAAACTTAAAATAATAACTTACAGTAACAAACTAACAGTTGTTTCAAACTCAGACCCCCATTCTGAACGCCTCGATTCTGCCTTCGCCCTACACTGGTACACCGGAAGAATGAAAGAGGTTTAATAAAATAAGAGATATCAATGAACATATATCAAATTCAATTAACATTGAGGAGCTAAAATTTTGAAAGCTAATTTTTTAAAAACGTCTCGTGCGATTTTTACAAAACTTGGCATTTAGAATTAGAGTCGTAGAAACGAAATATAGAAACAAATTAGCATGCCATGTCATAAAATGTTCAATTTTGGTCAAAATACCTATATTAGAGCAATGCTATATATAAATATAATACATATATTAAATCGCGCTTTCGAGACATAAAAACGCAACTTGAATTTCTTCAATCTGCCCAGTAGAATGGGAGATATAGAACTGTGCTTTTTTTTTTTTAATGCAAGGAGGCAATTTGCCCTGAAAGACAATTAATTCGTTTTGGTATTTTACGTTGAAAACTATAAAAGGCGAATCACTTTTCAAATTGTTGCCATCCAATATTATCGCCCTGTGTTATATTTAAAGAAATTAAATATGGAAGAATCTGCATGAATGTATGGATGTTTCTCGCCTTGTGATGAAACGACCGTACCAAATTCGAATAGCGTAATCTTCCATAGAACATATGGCCATGTATAAGCCCTATTTTCAATTTGAAATTTTTTTTATCGATTTCATACTTTATAAAACTTTACCGAATTTTTGATTAACAAACTCAAGGATTGCAAAGCGAACCATGGCAATGTTGTACAGAAAAAACATTTTTATCTCCAGCGCGTGGGATTCTGTATCGAAAATTCTAAAGATACGCTCATTTTAAAATTAATTTGCGATATTGCTGTTGACTGAATTTTATAGTTTGAATGGGTAGAAATTGATTTTTAATAAGTAAAGGTAACACACAAAACTTAAAAAAACGCCCCTTGGGACTTAATTTAAAATCTCAAACCTTTCAGATTTTTTACCGATTATTATCGTTCTTTGATAATGTAATACTTCTTTGGCGATATGAAGCAACTCCAATGATGGAACACAGCAATAACTTTTTTTTAACACTAAAAAAAAATGGCGACATACAAACAAGAAGAGAAAACATATTCTATCATTTAAAAATAAATTACATTCTTCGTGCGAGAATCGCAGTCTGGTTTCAAATATATTGCCATTCACAAATAACTTAATGTTCATCTATTTAAATTATTTAATCTACAAGATTTTAATATTATTTAAAGCTGTTACATTGACCTCTATAACTTAAGTTCCTCGTGACTTATAATATTTACTCTTTCGTCACGTGCAAAGTTTTGTTTTCGTTTTCAGTAATGATTTAATTTACATAAATTTGCTTATTCGCCAGATTAAACTGATTGAAAAAAAGGTAAATTTGCGAGATGTAAATTCTTCTGTTATTTATAATATGGTTTACACATGTCTCTTCTATTTTTTAAAATTTAATTATTCCGATTTCCATTTAAAATGTTCGCAAAATTACTCCCAAAGGGCCAACTTCTAAATTTTACATTGAAGTGTTTCTCTACGATTTGATACTTATAAATATTTTGCTGTTATCTATTTATTGTGTTGCAGAGTTAAATATATTTTATAAGATTTCAAAAGAGCTTAATCTATAGAAATACACATGCATAAAAAGAAGTATATTAAAAACATTTACACACACAATATGAAAGAAATTACTGTTTCAACAACTGAAAAATTTGCTGAACCATGCTGTGAGGGCTTCTGTCAAGATATGACAAAAACACGCGAGGTTAACGAGTTTACAAAATAAAATGATTGAGTGGTGGCTATAGCAGAAGCGTTTCGATAAGTAACATAAAAAGGAACGACCCGTCGTGATAACTGAATAACTTGATTACGCAGCGAGCAGTGGCAACGCTGTATAAGGTATTTTTCCCACCTTCCTAGCATGCCTTCGTGGTGTGGTCGTCTGTACACTGGGCGCGTATTCCAGAGGTCCGTGGTTCGATTCCCGGCGAAGACGTTGCTCATTTTTCAATCTCTCATGCTTCCAAAAATCCTAATGTCTCTACAGTGGCGCCCGAACTAAAGGGGTGGTGAATGATGGTTCTCCACCCCCCCAGGAAAAAAAATATTTTTATCTCCAGCATGCGAGGCTCTGTATCGAAAATTCTAAAGATAGGCTCATTTTAAAATTATTTAGCGATATTGCCGTTGAACTGAATTTTATGCTTTGAGTACGTAAAACATAATATTTATTTAATAAATAAAGGTAACACGCAAAAAATGCACCTTTGGGCACGTTAAAAAATGCACCTTTGGGCGTAATTTAAAATCTGAAACCTTTCATTTTCTTTCCGCAGTGTACATTTACATATCGGCAGTCTTTCCTTTAGAGACTGAGCTTATTGTGTTAGGAACACTTTTTGTTTCAGTAAGAAGATACTAAAAACATATTTTACCATTCTAAATAATATTTTCATTTTTTCTCAAGTAACTTAATGAATTATTACTATCGGGTAAAGGTATGGGCAGCGAAATTCGGTTGACACCTATAATCTTTTTAGAATTTTATATTACTCTATCTTCATTCGAAGAATCGCCAAACAGATCGCTATTGGTGCTGTGTTGAGCTTCTAACCCACCTTTACAATTTCCAGCGTTTTCTTAAATCACAAATCATATACAGATGAAAACTATTGAAAAGCACGCTTAGTAAAAATCATCCGTATTTTCCCTTGTATAACTCACCTGAAAGTCATATTATGATAGGGTGGTGTACAAGGAATGAGGTAAGATCCTAAGGTACGAACTATCATGTCCATCAGCCCATAATGAATGGAATCTCGTGTGAACCCGCTGGGAAAGTTGTGAAAGTCCAATATCACAATCTCTTTAGTCGCGCTTATGAATTGAAGAACCTGAAAAGGCAAAAATAAAGCATAAAAGTGTCAAAGTCTACTCAGATATGCAGAATATAAAGATGGTTACTTTATTCTACGCTCATCTTATTTGGTTCGCACATTTATCCAGAAATTTTCGAATGCCCTTGAAAGAGTCCTTGAAATTTCTTGAGATAAGAAACAATCGTTATCAAACTCATTTATTAGTCATAATGAATTTGTTATCGAAATTATAGCTAGTTTAAGCCTTTAATAGCAAGATAGCATTTTTTAACAATTTGTAGAGACGTTAGGATAATTCGGAAGCTCGAGAGATGAAAAATAAGCAATGCCTTCGCCGGAATCGAACCGCGGACCTCTGGAATACGCCCCCAGCATGCAGACCACTACACCACGAAGGCACGCTAAGAAGGCGGGAGAAATACCTTTTAAATTAGCGTTTACATTGAACAGTATATTATTTATTTCAAGAAGCCTTATCCTCATTTCAGTTGCAGTTGAAAAGATGTTAAACATCGCACAATTTTTAGACTATTGTCAACATTGTTACGAAACGCTCAGCTGCGGTGAGATTGCTTCCTTACAAAGCAGGCTTAGGGTTTCCAGAAATAGGCAAGGAAAGGTAGGGTTGCCATATTTGGCACGAAATCGCTCACTTGGCGACGTCTGGCGACATGTCATTGACGGATGGAGAACATTTTGGAACGAATTCGGTAAAAAAAAAGTATATTTACGGGTACCTCTTGGAGAAAATTTGCGATTTTTGGCGGTAAATGGATATCGAGTTTGTGCAATTCTTTGACTTTGTGTAGCATTTATTTTGGCTTTGTGTAGCAGCGCGCCAAAAATTGCCGCTACACAAAGACAAAATCACAGAATTGCACCAATTAGGCATTGTGCACTCCGTTGATTTTATCCATGTACACGTCGACCTATTTTTCACTTAAAAAAACATCAGAGAATTACACAAACTTAACATTGCGCACGCCTTTGACTTTGTCCATGAACACATTGATATATTTTCACTTAAAAAGGTCAAAGGAGCACTCAGTTCTGGGTAAAAGTACATTTACGGAACATTCAACTACTCAAGTTACCATAAATGAAACAACAACATGGCGATAAATGAAACAGCAACTTCGGGATAATACAAGGGGTACCCTTCAGTCTACTCTAACCACGAATTCTTACCGATTTGGCCCAGAATGTTCTCGAAGGTAGGCTAAAAGCTATATAAACCCTGTTTGTACGCGGAGTAGTAGTCTAGTGAGTGTAACGAGAGTGCGCATCATTGAATCTATCGAGTGCGTCGTGAGTTTTATCTTGATTGCGTTGAGCTCCAAGAACGGCTGAACTGAGTCGGGAGCTGTACTCTAGTGCTTTGCAGTGAAGCTGTCTTCACCATTATAGCCTGAAGGCTGCGTTGCTGATTGTTTCAACGTGCTTGTCGTAGTTTTTTTACGACTGTAAACGTGCTTTTTGGAGGTCTCCTGAGTAATACTGGCTAATAAATTGTGTTTTCATCCTTCATCAAGTGTTGCCATCAATCATTCTAAATCCACGAACACATAGAAACGCAACAGTATTACTAAAAGAGTTCTCTAAAGAGGCAGAAAACAATTTTTCTCCGTGACTTCTCACAAACGCGTTTTTACAAGAATACAGTTTTAGTGATATCAGTCACCGGTTCTCACACCTACAAATAATGTACTCTAAAAATATTTAAAGGTTCATTTTCAAGTAAATATCTCACATGATTTGGAAACAAACATTAAGCTGCATAGGAAAAAGTCATAGCATCTATTCTTAAAACATGAAAAACAAAAGCATGTATTAAATGGAGATATTTTAGAGCAAAATTATGGAATTAAAATCACTTTTCAATGTCTACCGTCAGTCAGTGTTCAAGATTTTGGGGATAAGTTTAGTAAACAGCCGCAAATAAAAGTTACTCGCCCTGATGATTAGTCTAAAAGCTATTTCTCCCGCCTTCTTAGCGTGCCTTCGTGGTGTAATGGCATGCATGCTCGGCGCGTATTCCAGAGATCTGTGGTTCGATTCCCAACAAAGATATTGCTCATTTTTCATCTTGCCCGCTTCCAATTTGTAGTTCACCCCATGCGATGTAATTAAGCGTCTGTCTGGAAATTTTTTACTTAAAGTTATACAGAAATTCAAATAACACATTAAAGCCTTGTGAATATTTTACGACATTAAGTATGCGATAGTAAGAGACCATGTAAGAATTTAACTTCTTATTTCCGACATACCGCTGCCCAGCTGTTAAAATTATTTTCATGAAATTCAATTTTATTTTCAGAAACTATAACTAACTCAATAACTTTGATAGATATTTAGACAAATATGACCCTCTTCCATTTTTCCAAGCTCACCTTGTAAAGGAAGGAAACCTATTCGGGTAATTTAAAAAATTAGTCATTCAAAATTTTGAAATCAGTGCTTTTTTAAATAGCATTGCTAAATCCTAACATGCAAGAAAGTGGACCAATTGAATAATTTGCGATTTAATCATTTGAAAACAATATATATATTAATTAAAAAAATTAGCCTTGTAAAATTTTGAGATCAGTATTTTTTAAATAACATTGTTAAATCCTATCATAGAAGAAAGTTGGCCAGTTGTATAATTTGGCATTTAATCATTTGAAAACAAAATATATATAAATTAAAAAATTATCCATGTAAAATTTTGAGATCAGTATTTTTTTAAAATAACATTAATAAATCCTAACATAGAAGAAAGTTGGCCAATCGAATAATTTAGGATTTAATCATTTGAAAGAAAAATATATATATGAATTAAAAAATTAGCTTTGTAAAATTTTGAGATCAGTATTTTTTTAAAAAATAGCATTGATAAATGCTAACATAGAGGAAAGTTGGGCAACCGAATAATTAGGGATTTAATCATTTGAAAAACAAATTATATATATATACATATATATATAAAAACAATGTATTTTTTAGTTTGAGTTTTTTCAAAAACATTTTTAAGCTTTTTTATGATACTTGATTTTTTTCTCTGCAGCTTTTGTTTTGAGATTTTCAGGGTATTTGTTTAGGGTATTTTTAATAAAATACTTCGTTAGTTCACATCAGCTTTCTAAATGAAACTTCGTTTATTCTCGGCAGCTTTTTGTTTTGAATACTTATACTGTGTTATATATTTTTAAACAAAATTTTCGTTAGTTCTCGGCAGCTTTTTATGGGTATTTTTGAAAGCTTTTTAATTAAAGCTACTTTAGTTCTCAGCAGCTTTTTATTATGAGTACTTTTTTGTGTAATTTTGGGCAATTATTTTGATTCGGTAAAAAACCTAGTTTAATACGCTTTCGAGCGCCCTTATTTTGGGCTTTAAATACTGATCCATTAAAAATTTTTCATTTTGAAAAATGTTTTTTGTATTATTCAGGGTTATACCTCGATGTATATGATTGCAATTAGCTCGTTTGGCCTTTTTAGGTTAAGTATTTTGGTTTTTCAGGTTTTTGCCATAAAACATTCTTCATATTTTTAATTTGTGTTTCTACTTTTGTATATTAATTTTGTAGTCCTGGGGTTGCGAATACATGTAGGGAAAAGGTCTGAACATTTGAGAAGCACTGAAAAATTGTTTTAAAGTGAAGCTGTGATCCGAATATTGCGGTTTTGGGTTTCCAATGATACAGAGAAACGAAACATATATTAGGAACTCATTTATTTAATCAACTTGGTTTAAGACTCAACACTTTTCCCTTGACAAACTCTGTTTGAAGGGTTAAACTGAGGAGATTAATACATAGTTTTTGTCTATTGTTCTATTTTGCATTATTTTCAGTTTTGTGTACGTATTTGAAATTTCTTTTAATTTTACATGTACTCCTTTTCAGTTACGAATTTCGTTGAGAAAGAATCGGTTAGGGCCTACATAGGGTAGAAAGTATTATCTATCAATTAAAGTTCCGAATTTTCCTTTTCATTTTATTATATACTAGCGAAAGTACCCGATGATAATTAAGTTAGATTGAGGGTTATGTATCTACCAATAGAGAGAACGACACCGCTTTAATCCTTCTCTAATAACGATGTCAAAAATACGATTCATAGTCATACATTTTTCATTCTGATCCGACATGGAACTCACATAAAAAAAATTTCGATAGAAAAATAAGCTAATTCTTTCTCATTATATCGGCGACAATGGCACACAATTTTTAATGATTTTCGTGTTTCTAATCGAAAAAGCTATATTCAATTTTAGTCGATTAAATATGGCAAAAAGTGATCATAATTGATCAGAAATCAATAACGCGAACAAAGTAAAAACACACCAGCAGACATTCTTTTTTATATGTATAGATATTGTAAAACTTACAAATGTTTGATTAACAAACACTACGATTTGAAAGCGAGCAGTCGCAAAGCTTTTGGAAATAAAGCATTTTTATCTTCAACACGCGACACTGCTGCCACTCGGAAAAATGAGGGCGAAAATGAGCGCTTTCAGAGTTTTTAATTAATATCTCGGCTGATTAAAGTCGTACGAAGATGACAATCGTCGAAATGACTTCCCACGAATTTTCGAAACCAGGAATAATGTATTTCATGATTGGCAATGTTATTTTAATTTCGTTGTAAAACTTAGTAATTTTTTATTAACAAACTCTAGAATTTGGAAGCAAGCAGTGGCAACACTTCTCGAAGTAAAGCAGATTTTTATCTCCAGCATGCGAGATTGTTGCCACTCGGAAAAATGACGGCGAAAATGAGCATTTCCAGAGTTTTGAATTAATATCCCTAATTTTTATCTACTTTTTTTTGGAAACAAATGGACGTCGTCCTTTCCCAGGACCCAGAAAAGAATGGTAGAAAGTTTGGTGACAATAACTATAGTATTTACTGAGTTAATCGCGAACAAACATACAGACATTCTTCTTTATATAAAGATGACAATCTAATAAATAAATAATATAAATATGGATAATTATGTAAATATATATAAATAATATATATAATATAATAATATAAATATATATAGATAGCACTCCGTTGAATGAGTCTTACCTCATCAAGGATAGATTTCACCGAATGCTTCGTCATCAGGATGCCGTGATTAATGTAATACTCCTCTCTATGAGAGCTATATCCAATTCTCAAATCAAAATACCTGAGTCCGTATATCAGTTGATTAAAAATGGATTCATCCTGAGTATATTCGTATAATTCTTTAGGCGTTATCAGCTTATGAAAGTAGAAACTGCCAGAATCGTGACTGCCTGGAATCATGGCTTCTGCCAACGTCAGTTCGGATAAATATCTGGAATGCTTTTCCATCCAGAAAGGACGAATTCGAAGACAAGAAGAAGAGAGTATTTTGCCTGGAACGAAGATCAGCAGAATTAACACATGCACAGTCAGTTAGCTCTTTATTTTCTTCAGCATTTTGTCAATTACTAGCGGAAGTAAAAGACGCCAATTAAGTTAGATTGAAAGTAATGCATCTAACAACAGAATGAACGATACTGCTTTGTAATCCTTCTCTAATAACGATGAAAAAATTACGATTCATAGTAAGACATTTCTCAGTGTGATGCAATATAAAACTCACATACAAAATGTCCATAAAAAATAAACTAATTCTCTTTTATTATCAGGAACAATGGTACGCAGTTTTCAATGATTTTGGTCTTTCTAATCAAACGGTCATAAAAGCTCAAATTTCATCCAATATTTCCTCTACATTCAATTTTATTCGTATCAAAAGTTTATCATAATTGATCAGAAATCAATAACGGGAACAAACACACAAACAGGCATTCTTCTTTATATACGTCCCTTTAAAAACCTCCCTTTTGGATGAGTCTATGTATTTTGGCAGACTGCCAACCAGGGTTGCGTTTGAGAAAGTCTAATAACAATAATGATTATTATTATTTGTAAAATAATATTAATAATTTGTTATTATTTTACAAATGAAGTGCAGTAACCTCACAGCATAAAAATTTGATTTGTCCAAATTTGAATTTGTATTTACTGTTGATATCCCCGAACTTATATTTTTACGACTTATTGTTGTCTTATTTTTGTATTAATTCTTTCCTGTAACTTCTACTGCTTTCGTCAGCCTGACCAGATTATAAATTAAATTTGATTTAAATAGCGACTGAATGTATAATTTAGAGAAAGAGCTGTATAGAGAAATCTGTTTTTCTCGTAAAACGCTCACCTATTGTCCAGAATGTTTTCGATGAGTATTTTCCGACAAATAAAGATCGTTAACATTAGTCTTGGAGAATACAAATAACTTGGCGCTGGGTTGTGTAGTTTTCAAATCTATTTATGTTGCATCTTGTAAGATATATTTTTGATTTAATAACCGTTATTTTAATTTCAATGCCCTATCCTATCAATCCTTCTTTCCACTTACAACTCCCGACCAGAGCGGGTTTTTTAGAATCGCGTTGAATGCGAATGAGTTAGAAGTCGTATTTAAAGGGTCATACCTCCCTTAAGGGGGCTCATACACCTTAAACCCCTTAACACCCTTCGAATATGTGACTGTTGCAAGAATTGGGATATTTTATTTATTTTAAAATCAATTACTTCTAACTTTTTTACAGCTGACTACATAATATAGCTGCTTTGGAAACTAGTAACCAGAAAGTTTGTGTTGCCACAAATATTTTTGTAATTTAATCCGCTTTGTGACAAAATATTTCGTCACGTTTCCACCTTGCGCGCACGATATTTTAAAAATGGTAAATGGTACATACTTGAAATTGAATGGAATTCTTTATACGAGCCCTATTCTTTAACTGAGCCAAAAATCTGATGAATGGTTTAATACTAAAAAATTTTATGGACGGAAACATTACACGTTTTCTTAATAAAATACATTTTATAAACTCGACTCCAAATAAAATAAAAATTTAACATGAAATTCTTAGAATTTTTTGTTCACAGTAATTTCCAAATGTTATAAAAGCTATATATTAAATATGGAATTAAATTATGCAACAGGATGTTTTAAACTGTGCGCACAAAGTGGAAACATGACGAAAATTTTGTCAAAAAGCGGATTAAATTATCAAAATATTTGTGGCAACACAAACTTTCTGATCACTATTTCAGAAAGCAGCTATATTATGTAGTCAGTTGTAAAAAGTTGGAAGTAATTGCTTTTAAAATAAAAAAAGGCTAAAACGTCGAGGCTAAAACCCCTTAAAAGGCTAAAACGTCGAGTAAATTGGACTATTTCAAACTACTGTATCTCATAATATATAAACAAGAAACAAATAAATTTTTTACAGAAGACACTTAAAATACTACTCTATCTGAAAATGTGACTAAGTTTATAAAATACAAAAAAAAAATTATTTAATAATGCTGAAAACTATACGGCACTTTATGTAATTTGAAAATGTAATATGAGCTTGCGCGCAAGATTACTCTTAAATTATATGCTTTTTCAAAATATTTTCACCTGTAATATATTTATTATAGTCTTATTATAATTTTGAACCTTTAAAATTTTAAATATATGTAATAATAAAATTCCATAGTCAAGAATACACTTAAAATTCTATATGTTCTTTTACATTACTTGGATATTTCAAATTTTTAATACTTTCAATATTTTGATTATTTGAGGTAACTTTACCCTTTTTAATTTCATTTCAATTTCAAGAAAATTGATTTTATCTTTGGCAAAGACACATTTACTCTGGTTCAATTTAATACCTTCTTGAATAAATATTTCAAATAATTCACTCAAATACTTTAGATGTTTTTTGCAAGAAGAGTAAACAATTATGTCATCAAAATAACTACAAGCAAATAGTATTTTATTTTTAGTGAGGATGCGTTTAATAACTCTGTTAAAGATAGCCGGTGCATTTTTGAAGCCAAAAGGGAGTCTTAGCCATTCATACAGTCCAAAATTTGTAATAAAAGCCAATTTTTCGGTGGCATCAGGATGAATAGGAATGTGCCAAAACCCTGAATTAATTAAATTGTTAAATAAATATAAGAATGTGTTTTCCAAAAATAAATATGATGTAGGTAAAATTAACATTGAACCACAACGAATTAACTTGACTTCTGATTTGACTGTCACTTTAAGACCTTAACTTCCCCTAAGGAAGAAGAAGAAATTAGACGACAAATTGATCAATTATTAAAAAATGGAATTATTAAAGAACGTAGTAGTCCTTATGCATCCCCAGTAGTAACTTTAGTAAAAAAAAAAAAAAAAAAAAAAAAAAAAAAAAAAAAAAAAAACAAAAAAAAAAAAAAAAAAACAGAATGTGTATTGATTATCGTAAGTTGAATGTTTTAGCAAAGACTGAGGCTCATCCCCTGCCCCGGATAGACTTTTTATTAGACAAATTAAGTAATGCAAATGTTTGCAAATGTTTTTTCTACAATAGATCTAAGATCAAGGGTTTTGGCCACATTCCTATTCACCCTGATAACACCGAAAAATTGGCTTTTATTACAAATTTTGGACTGTATGAATGAATGCTAAGACTCACCTTTTGGCTTCAAAAATGCACCGGCTATCTTTAACAGAGTTATTAAAACGCATCCTCACTAAAAATAAAAATACAATTTGCTTGTAGTTATTTTGATGACATAATTGTTTGCTCTTCTTCCAAAGAACAACATCTAAAGAATTTGATTGAGTGAATTATTTGAAATATTTATTCAAGAAGGTATTAAATTGAACCAGAGTAAATGTGTCTTTGCCAAAGATAAAATCAATTTTCTAGGTTATGAAATTAGAAAGGGTAAAGTTACCCCAAATAACCAAAATATTGAAAGTATTAAAAATTTGAAATATCCAAGTAATGTAAAAGAACATATAGAATATTAAGTGTATTCTTGACTATGGAATTTTATTATTACATAATAATTACATTATTATCATAAAATTTGAGAATACAGAATTTTTATTTATGTCTATTATTCTATGAAGTGTTGGTAATACTCTGAAGAGTTTTTGGTTTTAAAAAAAAAATATTTGACTATTGTAAAAATATTTTGTGAAAAGAACAGATAGAATTTTAAGTGTATTCTTGACTATGGAATTTTATTATTACATATATATAAATTTTATATTTTTTAAAAACAGTGGTTTTATGTTACTGAAAAATAGCATACTTTTTATTACTTTGAAAACCCAGAAAAATAACAAAATATAAATGGAAATTTCAAATTTTAGGTTCAGGTTGTAGCAAATTACATATTGTATCTGTGATACAACTTTCATTAGAATATATTGAATATTTCAATTGTTATGATGCGCGCAATAATGAAAAATCATGTTTTGAGAAAAATGACTTTGAAGTTTTTTCACCACATATTACCTAATAACCATTATTATTGCACCTTAATTTTATATAAAATGAAAAACTTATCACCTGATATTGTTTTCTTTACTTATTTTGTTTTTGATAGAAATTTCAACTGTTTACACAACATTCACGCTAACACAATTCATGTCGTGATGTGAAATTACACCGAATAGCAAAAATGCACAAAATATATCAATACAGATTTATCATATAATAATTATACACACACTATTAGCATTAAAATGCTCCTGAAAAGTATGTTACTCCTTCAGCTTGATGAGTCTTTTTAATTTCATGCAGTTTTGCATGAAGCTTGGCGCGACGAGCATCAATCGTACGAGCTATTACTCGTTTCGTCGAAGAAGTTACACTTTTATAGTCACTCCTGAATTGTGCAGTAATGCAATTAATTCCAGGGTATATATTCAGGTATCTCAGAGTAGACAATCTACCCTTTCTACCATCATTAAAAAGAGTAACTGCTTCATGAACTGCTTTTCTGAGATCATTCTGCCACTACGAGATGTCTTTGGACATATTTGCCAAATCAAGGAGTTCAGTGATTCATTTGGATTTTGAGTATGAGCTTTTAGGACCTTTTAGGAGGTCTGGATGCGACAATGAGTTGAAAACTGGTTTGATCACATCCATGACTGCCAGTGAGTGGTAAGGTTTCTTTATGGCGAAAATCATTCACAATCCCTTTCGCCGAAGCAATTTGGTACTTGTACCATGAGGACTCACCAGTTGGACAAAAATTATGCAATGGGTCACTGTCTGTAGATCGAGTATGAAAATACAAAGCCCAGATAGCATTTCGCATATCTTTCAGTGAACCTGCATGTTGGCGAATTGCATTTCCATAATACAATGACAGTCGACTGATTGCACTATCTGTAAGTCGACCTTTTCCAGATAGACTTTTGCTATCTGAAAACTTTCGTCCCTTATAATCAGCTTTCAGTTTACGTAAGCCAGTGCCCATCCTCTTCTGGATGTTCCCTACACACTCTAGTTTTGACACAGTCACACCTTCATATGGTTTGCTTTCTGTTATGGTAAGAAATGTTTTTGAATCACCATCACCAATATAATTGATGTATCTCACACCCCTTGCACTTTGAGACCTCTGAAAAATTTTAACCATTCCGTCAGCTTCCATTTTGGCAGATGAACCGAAATTATTTCTCCTGCAAGTGCGAGAATGGGTTTTCTGCCACTCATCAAAGGCTTCACCAGATCGAGGACCCTTCCACAATTCGCATCCTTTACATGGGCTACGGATAAAACCTCTACGTCGATAACTTTTCCACTCTCAGCACCAATAACCGTACATACACCAATCTGAGATGTATGGCCTCTTGTTTTCCAGGTGCCATCACCACTTACACTTATGTCTGTAGAATTACTCAGTGATACTTCTTCTTCTGCTGCAGTTTTCATGCTTTCAATTGCAGTCATTTTTGTTGCATTATTGATTAAGTTACAGATTCTGTCATAAGTTTTTTGCATCACAGGAGGATCTAAATCCATTATTCCACAAAATGTTTTCAATAGTTTGTAAGGATCTTAAGTTTTACTAACGTTTATTTTATTTTAAATCTTTACTATCACTTCTTATTTTCTACTTCCGGCCAGAATTATAAGCGTGAAGGATTTTATGCAAAGTTTGTCTGGCGAACGCCAAGTATTTAAGTGTGGCCTTTTTGCCAAGCGAGAGAGAGGAAGCAGTAAGTCAACGCAGGCCGCTTACCTTAGAAGTTACGCACTTGCTGTTCGCCTTCCAGGCCAGAGGTTTTAATCCTCTTGATAAAATAAACGTATTGTAGTGTTGTTCACTGTCTCTGTGCTACATACGCTTCCTGTTATTATAAGGCCAATCTTCCACGTGTATTATTCTAAAGTTAAATTAGAGTTTAGTTTTACTTTTATACTTTTTTTACGTTAGACCCCGAGTGGTGGGTCAGTGTATTCCGAAGTACGGAAGTTATTGTATATAGAGAAAAATAAAGGGTTTTGTATACCCTTCGCCTGTATCCTGTCTACTTACCACAATTCGTGAACATAGCTTTAGTAAGCTCTCTGTTCCGAGTCAGGTCCTTGTATGTTCCCGAAGAAGGTTAGAAGGAACATTGAACCTGATAAGTTCAAGACCTTGACCAATACAACACATTGCATAAATAATACGACAATTAATTTCTGCAATGTTCCTTTTCTCCCCAACAAGTTTAGTGTTGCTTGTCATCACAACATTTTTGCATCCTTGACATGTCAAGATCATTCTGGAACATAGACCTGCAGATCTTTTCGCAGTAAATTTCCATTTACCATGGCATACCTTACATACAGTGTTTTCTTCCAAAAAAGAACACAGAATATTTTTATCGACAATCATGTTGCCATCAAATCGATTGCTTTCACTTGAAAAATCAATGTCTGCTACATTTAACTTTTTACAAGAAGCACTTGTATTTAGTTCATCTAAATTTCCAGGGAAACTATGTGCAGCTGTAGTTTCACAAATAACAGTTTGGTTTGGGGAAGAAATAGAAAATCCATTATTTATTTCATTTGAAACTGTCGATTTACCAGTTCTGATGAACTGGTTTCCATGAAATCGGCGCTTTTTTGAACGCTTTCCAGAAGCACGTTTATAAGCATTATCGGTCATTTTACGGAGCAGTGCACAGTAAGATAATAAAATGCTTTAAAAACTTACAATTATATTTAAATTCACCCACAAACTGTTCTAAAATCACAACTGAATGATCAAAAGTGACGGAATAACAAGTGGAGTGATATGAATAACTACTAAAATATAATGAAATGAAATGAAAAAAGAGCAATAAAAATAAAACGCAAGAACGGTTAAAAATGTAAACAAACTACCGAAGAGTTGAGGAATAACATTGCTACTCCATAAATAGATCATTAAAAAATAAATCATTAGGCTTGCCACATAACACTTGGAATAGAAACCGCTGACGCTCTTCGCTTGGACCTTTAAACCTTGTTTACATTAATTCAGCTGATACATTTTCCTTCATAACTCATGAAATTGTACGAATTTTTGCTTGGGTTTTTTTTAAACTGAGCAGAAAGAATTAAGCTATAACATATATCTTTTTAAAAAATCAAAAATTTTGATGGTTTAAGGGAAGTATGACCCCTTAAGGAAGGTTCTACTTACTTCGATAAAGAGTGCTAGGAATCCTCAAGTCACATACGTTTTCGCTACGCGGGAGTGGACGTCGAAAGGGACATTTCTCAGAACGCGCACATTTTCGCGAAACCTACGTAGCTGGGTTACCATTTTTACTTACTAAACAAACTTGAACGTCAAACGGTAATCAATTATCACTCACGTGATCTTTCGGAAGCAGGACTTTCGTCTGATTTGTTGATCTCTACCCAGGACAAAGTTGCAGACGAAACATTTTCGGCGAAGTTTCAAAATATCCCGCGTAGCTGAGACATCGCTTCCGTAGCTTGGTGGGACTTCGCTTCCAGCGGAGCTGTTTTTTCTAGGAATCTTCCAGTTTAAACCAGTGCTACCAGAATCTCGTTTCTCAGAAAAGTCCTGTCAAGCAGGGACCGTCACTGGATGGAATAACTTCTTCAGTGCCGCGTGTTTGCTTTTGAACTAAGCCCCTCTTAAAGCTGTTACGCTCGGCCGTATATTACCTACCTATTAATACTCGCTGGCTAGTTTAATTTAAGGACCAACTACGTTAGATAATTGTGCTTCGCTTCGGCTAAATCTTGTTTAGTTAATTAAAGTTTAATTTCTTATTCCTCATTCGGAGTTAAAGTCCGAGTAGAGGCGGTCAGCCTTCGTCTAGAGTTTAAATGTACCGGGAAGATGCCTGAAGGAAACACCAAAAATTAAATTCAAAAACTGCACAAAAGAAAGAAAATCTGAAAGGTTTCAGATTTTAAATTCCGTTCAAAGGGGCTTTTTTTTAACATTATGTGTGTTACCTATATTTATTAAATACCACGTTTTTCGCACTTAAACCATAAAATTCAGTTCAACAGCAATGTTGCAAAATAATTTTAAAATGAGCCTATCTTTAGAATTTCGGATACACAGTCTCGTTCGCTGGAGATAATTTTTTTTTTTTTTTTCTGTACAACGTTGCCATGGCTCGCTTTGAAATCGTTGACTTTGTTAATCAAACATTCGTTAAAGTTTTACAAAATATGAAATCGATCATAAAACAAATTCCAAATTTAAAATTTGGGCTTCCACATGCCCATATTCGCAGTACATCATTCAAAATTTGATGGTTCTAGGTACCGTTGTTTTATCAGAATGCGAGAAAAATGTATACTTTTATGCAGATTCTTCATTATTTAATTTCTTCAAATATAATGCAGGATTCTAACATTCTGTGGCAACAGTGTGAAAAGTGATACAGCCTTTTAAAGATTTCAACGCAAAATGCCGAAACGAAAACAATAGTCCCTAGGGACAAAGCCCCTTTGGATTCAAAAAGACAAATTTCAATAAAAATGTATTACATATAAAAAAATTACAATGAAATAAGCAATATCCTTTAATTAATCATCCTAATAAACAAATTATTCAACTTTCCGTTGCCTTCTCTCGACAAACGTCCAGTCTCCAAAAAAACATTGAATTTAAAAACTGCACAGAATCGTTGCCCTAATTTCTCCGAGTGGCAACAGGGCTGATATCAGCAACAATGGCAATTTTCGAATTTTTAAAAAATAATTGCTTCGAGGTGCACTGGCTCTTGTCTAGATGCACCTGTGTACCAAATTTCGTAGCCCTGAGTCTATTAGTACCTTACGCGCAGCACGAACGAAAGACACACATACACACACACAGACAGATTCTTCCTTTTATTATATGTAGATATAAATTATATTCCTAGGACTTACATTTTGTTTAATTACACCTACGAGTAGAAGCGTTTGATAACTTAACCTCTTAGAATTATTTCTTAGAATCTTAAAATTTATCTTTGTCTTAAAATTCTATACTTCATATTAATTTGCAAACAGTTTAGTCGATCGTAGCACGGGAAAGCTCAACAAGGATTAAGAAATATTGATTAAGGAACGTTTAGGATCAGGCTTAGATCTTATCAAAATTAGAATCTTAGAATTTATGTTTGCTTCTTAGAATTCTATACTTCATATTAATTTGCAAACAGATTAGTTGATCTTAGCACAGGAAAGCTGAACAAGGATTAAGAAATATTGATTACAGCATTGATTTAGGAACGTTTAGGATCAACCTTAGATATTATCAAAATTTAAGTTCATCATGTGTATTTTATTTAATATTCCAAAACTTACCGTTTTTGTTACTGTAAACAGCCCAGTATCCTAAGCATGGTTCTTGATGTAAGGCACTCATGTTGAAAAAGATGACTGGCAATTCTATATCAAGAGTTTTAAAATACCCATCAGGAAAATCCAGAGGATTAATGGATAGAATGGGTTCGAACCAAAGGATCCTGCCTGTAGACACCAACAGCTCAGGATCTTCCCTGTAGATACTGACACTGTCACCTGGAGATGAATGACCTCCAACCCAGTTGACTTCTAACGGCCGCTTAACAATTCCCTCTGGCGTAGTGGAGACCGTTAATGAAGACAGGGTGAAGAAAACTTGGACTCTTTTTGCTGCACCTTTGAGTATATCGCATTCTGTAGAAAATAAGCATAGTTGTAACACTTTCCTCGAGGGAAAAAAAAAAAAAAAAAAAATCATTTATCAAATTTGTAGTTTGGAATCTTACAAATTTTAGTAGAATTATAATTAATTTTTTTTTATTTCTCAGTGAAATACAACGCGAGACAAATTTTAAGAGAAAGCTATGCCAGAAAAGTAAGAATACAGGGAACGTGCACATTAACATTGAGAAAAGGATATCTCGGTTATTTATATTGAAATTGAATAAATGTAATTGACCACTATGTTAGCTGTAATCTTAATTCCCTCCTCTGATTACTTTCCAGTAACTGGGAGATGCAGAAAGTACTAGAAATATCTCGCGACCGGTTGACAACTATAAAAGGCCGGAGACACAGCGCCTGAGTTCAGTTACTTAGTTACTGTTGTTGCGAGTTGTTTAGTTTCGCGTGAGCTGAGATATCAGAGTTAGCTTTCTCTTTCAAATGAGCTTTGCATTGCGTTGTGTTTAACGTTTTTAGTAGTTTTTGAAATCTAACTGCTGAGTACACTGCGTGATAGTGTGAGCCTTCATTCTGTGGAAATTTTCAGACTTCTGAAATATTTCTTTTGATAAAAGCAAACTTTTATTGACCTATTATCGGACTTGTGACCTATTATCGGACTTGTGCATTCAGTCCATTACGAACCCGTACTCACGCAGCAATATTTAAAAAACTCATTTTTATAAAAACACACAAACTGCATAAGTGGCTCAGTCAGCTCTTTTTATTCGTATAAAGTTTTCTTTTAACTTCCCTGCGCCATAACAGTATTTGTGATGAGAACTTTCTAACTCTCTCTTTTTTCTTGTTCTTGCTTTTTGTTTAAGGCTTATTGTTTCTTGAGTATTTTTAATTATTAGTTCTAGTTGTCCGAGTGGTAAAGCCGCTGAACACTGCTAGTTCCCACCAGGGTTTCATTCCAGGCGAACGGGGGGCCTTCATAGGTGTTTTCGTGATCTTCCCCATGTATAACGTGTATACGAGCCAGTTCTCTTAAAAGGTCCTGTATTTTTCCCGCCTTCTTAGCCTGCCTTCGTGGTGCAAAGGTCAGCACGTTCGGCGCGTATTCGAGAGGTCCGTGGTTCGAGTCCCGGCGAGGGCATTGCTCATTATTCTTCAAAAAATACCTAATCTCTCTACAGTGGAGTCCGAACTAAAAAGGTGGTGGATGGTGATTCTCTACCACCAGGATTTGACGATTGGGTCCCCTAGTCCCCAGTCGCCCTTTAAAAGGTGGAACATATAAGGTATTGCTCCCACCTTCTTAGCATGACTTCGTGGTCAGCACGCTCGGCGTGTATTCGAAAGGTTCGTGGTTCGCGTCCCGACTAAGGCATTGCTCATATCTTCAATTATCCCAGCATCAAAAATACCTAATGTCTGTACAACTTAATGAAATATATTCCAACATTTCGTACACGAAAATATCCATTTTGACTGCTATCGAATGCAATTTAACGATGTTTTTGCGTGACATCTGTACGTAAGGACAGAATAAAAGACTCTTTTCATCCAAAAAAATTATAAAACTGCTTTAAAATGAATTCTGAAAAGAATTTTTTGGGGTGTCTGTACGAACGTATGTACGTACGTAAGTATCTCGCATAACTCAAAAACGAGTAGCCTCAGAACGTTGAAATTTTGTATATAGGACTGCTATAACATGTAGATGTGCACCTCGTATTTTGGTTGCCCTCGGCCGCACCAAATGCATATAAATATATTTATATATATATCCACTCTGTTATCCGGCTCAGTGATCTCAGTTTCTTTACTCTTATATGTTTGTAAATTGTGCATTTTTTACTTTAAAAGTGATTGTCTTACGTTGTTCTTATCTGCTGGTTAAGGTTTTTAGTTGTCTTTAGTAGATTTGCATGCAGTATTTGTAGAATTATCAACAATTTAAAAGTTGTTTAAGTGCGGCTAAGCCTTAAGTTTTAAATAACATCGCAGACATATTTGTTTACATTTGGAACAGCAGAATAGTAGATTTGTTGCCAATTTACCGAGACTAAGCTTCGCAACAACAAAGATAACGCCTTCATTTATTATTGCGAATTAAATCACGCTTAATCCTTTCTGGAATTTTTTCATGGAAATAAGTGTTTAAGAATTAATTTATCATTTTTAATATAGATATTTCGAGTTTTTATGTATTTTTGCCTTGTTGCGAAGTGAGAGCTGAATTAATTGAATGAGAAATAATGAATCGTCTGTGAAAAACTGTTTCTTTTTTGTTTTGTTTGCCTAATTTCTCTTTTGGTCTACCAGCGGCCGAGCTGTAACGTCGCTGAACACTAGTAGTTCGGTCCGAGGTTCGAAGCCCGTGAACGGGCTGGCTGCATGGGTGTTTTCGTGGTTTTCCCCATGTGTAACGTGTATACGAGCCAGTATTCCTTAGAAAGTCCTCCACGAAGGCATCCCTCCCCTTAGGCAGATAGCCCTAGTGAGCTTTGCCATAATTAAATACACCACACCACCACCTAATTTCTTTTATACGTCGTTCTTGATTTATTATAGTATATGAATAGAACATGTGGCAACGATTCGATAATTCTTCAAATGATATTAATTTTCTGCATTCTGAGTTATAATATGAACGAAATATAACGCTGTTAAGTGAACCTAGCGCCAGAGTGTCGCTATAGGAAACAAATAGAGTGAATTTTAAAGAGTGCATTTATTCTATTGTGGTTTATGCGCTGTCAATGAAGTAGATTTAATTCAATCCAATAAGTTTAAATGAAATGCTAGAAAGAAATGCGTATAATTTAATATTCCGTACAAGGAAGTCATGTGGTGTATACATCAGATTTTTTACTTACCAGATTTATTGAATTTGCTGAAGTGCAGCGATGTGGAAGAACCGATCATCAGAAACACGGCAATGAGATAGATAGAGTTCTTTGGCATCTTATCGATGGACTCACCAAGTATTCTTTGTAATAACTAAAAAACATTAAAAACAATAAACTTCCGTATCTTTTATTTCTGTATCATATATTTATGTTTACTTTATATTAAAGACGTAATAAATTGAGATAACCTTTCTTGATAAATGGAGTTATCATTTTTATCATCTTTATTTAATTATTTGTTGTTGTCTGCTGATATTTTCTGATCAATATTGGCTGAGAACTGTTTGTTTGGTTAATATTTTGCCAGTATCTTTAATTTGCTTGTTTAGTGTTTAACGATAGAAATTTTTACTTCCTTGCATGAAGTAAAAAAGGAAGTATTGTAATCGCGAAAAATTTCGGGTATCATATTTCAACGAAAATATCCATTTTGACCGCTATCGAATGCAATTGAACAACGTTTTTGCTTGACATCTCTACGTAAGGACAGAATAAAGGACTCTTTTTTCCTAAAACAATTATAAAACTGATTTAAAATGAATTTTAAAGATAACGTTTCGTGGAGTCTGTGCGTACGTGCATACGTACAACATATGTATGTATGTATCTCGTATAATTAAAAAACGAGTAGCCTCAGAACGTTGAAATTTTGTATGTAGGACTGCTATAACATGTAGATGTGTGAAAAGAAATTTCTATGTTATTTTTTTGGCTGTATGCTAATCTCCTTATTATATATTAGTTTTAAATTTTTACCTTGAAATCTTGGCTAAAATCAAACGGCGAGCCCTAGGTGTGCCTAGACGGGGCTCACCGATCATCTAGGACAACTGATAGTCTGTATTCTTTGTTTCTCCGCATCTCATCGGTCAGTTCGTTTCAGCACTCTTTTCGAAGGCTCTTTACAAGGCTCGTTTCAGCACTCTTTTCGAAGCTCAGCTCTATTCAAGTGTGCCACTTTGGCACACCCACAGAATTAAAACGATAAGTGCTATCTTCACAAAATTTTACTTGTGTACTCCTCTAGGTCTAATTAGACTGCCTACTTTTTTTTTTTTTTTTTTTTTTTTTTTTTTTTTATCAAAACTCCGACTTTAAAAGGTAGCGTGCCGGAAAGGGTTAACCCTTCTTGAGTTTTACGTTTCTGTTTCTGGACTTAAACGATTATTCGTTTAGTAGTTCACTATGTTACTCTACACTTAATTAATATATAAAAGAGGTGAATACTACATCTTACTTATCTTAATCTTTTTGAAATTAAGACCAATTAATTTTACAAATGATTTTTACATTCACTTATGAGTTATACTGCAGTTAGAATATTACATATTTATGGAGTTTCTATTCCATCATTACTTGATTTGAACTAAAATATGAGTATTTTGAACGACAACGCCTTCATGCAATATTTTTGAACACTCTAATTTGAAAATATCTAACTCATATGCATTCTAATTATCAAGTTCATTTTTACCGCTCGTTCATATATCTATTATGTGGGATTACACTGATTATTTTCAGTTCAATTATTTCTTATTTCTGTAATTTTCACAGCTAGATGTTTAAGAGAAATCAGAAACGCCTTAAAAATATTCGTGCGTTATCATTTGAAACAAACCAGTTATTTGTAATTTCAGCGTTTTACTATACCTGCTCCTTTCACTTTCCTCACCGCAATGCAAATCAGTAAGACAGTATTTGGATTGTAAGATAAAGGGTGTTTCGGCCTCTCGCTGGCACGTTACGTTAGTTCCTACAAGTTCTGATCACTTTTCAATTATTCGGCTTTTTGTTATCGCTGCCGATATTTGATTTTCATACGCTGGTCAGAAGTTCTGAACCAGCTTAGATTTAAAATTAATTCTGTAGTCCCTGACTACTATTTTACGCTTTAAACTGGAATTTGCCTGTAAATTTAGTTGCATCACTACGAGCTTTTATTTAGGTTAATTGTTTTGAGATTTTATACAACTCATAAATTTTAAATTTTCCTTGAGTAAAAATTATTTTTTTTTTAAACTTTCCAGCAAACATCGCCAAATCATTTGATGAAAATATATATTACAGAATTTTACTCGATTTTGTAAAAATTAAATAGTCCAAAACCGTGACAGAAAGTAACTACAAATCAAAATATAAATGCACAGGAATCCGTGCGTTTATATTCTGATTTTTGTTTAGGTAAAAAGTTTATTTTAAATCTTGCCAAGTCTGTGCGTTACTTTCTGTCACAGTTTTGGACCATTTAATTTTTACAAAATGGAATAAAATTCTATAATATACATTTGCAACAAATGATTCGTTAACTTTTACTGGAAAGTTTCACAAAAAATCATTTTTACTCAAGTAAAATTTGAAACTTATGAGTTATTGTTTAAATCTGAAAACAAATAACCTAAATTTAAAAAAATTCTAAAACTGCTCGCAGCATTTGGGTACACTTCAAATAAACGAACAACATAAAAAAATTCACATGCAATAATTTTTACATTCTTGAACATTAATAAAAATTAGTATTTTATCTAAACAACCAGCGCAAGTACCCGATGCCAGTTAAGTTAGATTGAGAGTAATGCATCTAACAACAGAAAGAACGATAATGCTGTAATTCTTCTGTAATAACAATGCAAAAATACGATTCATAGCCATACATTTTTCAGTCTGATGCGATATGAAACTCACATAAAAAATTTCCATAGAAAAATAAGCTAATTTTCTCTCATTATAGCAGCAACAATACCACGCATTTTTGAATGATTTTCGTCTTTTAAATCAAATGATCGTAAAAGCTCAAGTTCCATCCAATATTTCACCTATATTCAATTTTAGTCGATTAGATGTGTGAATAAAAATTTATCATAGTTGATCATAAATCAATAACGCAAACAAACACACACACAAAGAAACATTCTTTTTTATATGTACAGATTTTGTAAAACTTTCAAATTTTTGATTAACAAATTCTACGATTTGAAGGCGAGCAATAGCAGCACTTTTCGAAATGCAGCTTTTTTTATTTCCAATGAGCGACAATGTTGCCACTCGGAAAAATATTGCGAAAATTAGCGTTTTCACTTTTTAATTATTATTTCGGCTGATTAAAGTTGTACGAAGATGGGACTAGTCGAAATGTCTTCCCACGAATTTTTTGAATCGGAAATAATACATTTAATGTTTAGCAATGAAACTTTTATTTCACAGTAAAACTTAGAAATGTTTTATTAACAAACTCTAGCATTTGAAAGCTAGCAGTGGCAACAACTTTCGAAATAAAGCAGACTTTCATCTCCAGCGTGCGATACTGTTGCCCCTCAAAAATATGAGGGCGAAAATTAGCTTTTTTCCGAGTTTTTAATTAATATCTCTGATTTTAGCTACTTGTTTGTAGAAAAAAGAGAGCTTCGACCTTTTCCAGGACCTAGAAAAGAACTATAGAAAGTTTGGTGACGATTACTATAGTGACTGAGTTATTAGCGAACAAACAAACTCACAGACTTTCTTCTTTATATATATAGATTACGTGTAATAGAACATAGAATAAAAAATAGAATTAAAATTAAATACAAAATAGTTTAGAAACAAATTAACATGCTTCTAAAAATAAAGTATTAGGTTGATACAATAGGGAGATTTGGTTGATAGCGTAGTTTTGGCAGGTCGTGTGAAGTCTGCTTGGCCATTAAACGTGCCTAAAATTCTTCTTCTTAAAAAAAAAAAAAAAAAAAAAAAAACTGTTTCATATATCCGTTGTACCAAAACAAAAGTACAGCCAACTCTTTCTCCCATCGGATCTAGGAAGACAGTTTTACCGGTGTTCAGGAATTTTTAATATTGGGTCATTGGGAAGTCTGAAATCTTTGCATTTATAAATGTGATAAATTCTTTCAGAAGAATGTAAAAAATGCTCCACCGGTTAGCTTAGTTTTTGTGCTAAGTTATCCTACCTTCATTTCGATGTATTATCATATCATACCTTCAATTCGATGTATAAATCTTAAATAAAACAAATCTGCATAATGTTAAACAATTTAAAAAACTAGAAAACTTAAAAAACTGCATAACTTAAAAAATTAAATAACATAAATAGCAGAACATAAGAGCCTTCAATAAAACAACAATGCTTAGAATTATTACTCTTCCAACACAGATATTTCACATAGAATTTTTTTTTCACATAGAACAATTTCACATAGAATATCTATTGCAAAAGATATGAAAAGCTGTCGTAGGATATAAATAGGTATAAAAAAAATCTATGATTTTTAACCAATCTGGATGTAATAGTATTACAATAATCAGAGCAAAACTTTAAATGAAAAACATAATAAAAGTGAAAGAACCTTAATGTCAGAAAAGGAGATTTCTTTGGTTATGGAACTTGAAACAGAAGGATGTCATCTGGCAATCTTTTCAGACGATAGCCGAATTAGTTGATTATAACTAATCCAAGTAGGGATGAAATTCTTTTATATCCTAGTTTCTCGTGCTCATTCGAACGATGTTATCTTTCCTAGTTGTTATCTTATCTACATAATAAGAAATCTTTCTCTTTTAAGAGATTTCGCGCTAAAATTTCCTTTTCTTTTCCGCCAAATGAAATGTTTCCTTAAAATTTAATATTTTTTGCAGCAAGCAAAAATTAGATGCTGTTATTTTTTGCAGTGTGAATGGTAATGTAGTAGTTTTTAAGAAACTATAAAGAGATCAAATTTCAAAATATTTTAGCGTTCTTTTCTTCATGTGAAACCAATACTTGCCTTACTCGAGTAATTGAAAATTTTAGAAATATGTTAAGACAATTTACCTCATAATTCTTAATTATAATATAACTAAAAAATTATATAGTTAGTCTTGACTCAAATATGGCATTTTAATGATTTGTTAATCCAGAAGGACTATTAATTTCGTTTTGGCATTTTGCGCTGAAAACTTTAAATGTCCCTTTCACTTTTCAAATTGTTGCCAACAAATATTATTGCTCTGTGTTAAATTTAAATAAATTAAATAACGCAGAATCCACATAAATGCATCTAGGTTTCTCGCAATGACATAAGCAACGGTAGCTAGAGCGATCGAATTTTGAATAACGTAAGTCTCCACCCGAATATGGGTATATGGAAGCCCGAATTTGGAATTTGTTTTATTGTCTAGATATTTTGTTAAGCATTTAGAGTTTTTGATTAAGAAGCCGAACTATTTCAAAGCGAGTCATTGCAATAGTAAATATACATGTACACTGAGCAGGAACAAAAAAAAGGGGGGGGGGAATCTGAAAGGTTTCAGATTTTATATTATGTCCAAAGGGGCGTTTTTTTAACATTTTGTTGTTACCTTTATTTATTAAATATCACGTTTTTCGCCCTTAACCATAAAATTAAGTTCAACAGCAATATCGCAAAATAGTTTTAAAAATTGAGCATATCTTTAGAATTTCCGATACACAGTCTCGCGCGTGGAGATTAAAATGTGTGTGGGTGTTTTCCGTACAACGTGTTGCCATTGGCTCGCTTTGAAAATCGTCGAGTTTGTTAATCAAAAATTCGTTAAAGTTTTACAAAACAGGAAATCGATTATAAAACAAATTCCAAATTGAATAAAAATCTTTAATTTTTTGTAGATATGCTTTGAAATACAACTACTTTAAGATGATGGCAAAAATTTTATGGGCTACAATTCAAAAAATTTAGAATTAAATATTATTTAATAAAAATGAGCTAGTTTCATTTGGAATGAACCTAAATTTTAAAAGAAGGAATCAAGTAAGTTTAATAAGAAAAGAGATATTATTTGCCATGCCGCACCGACACCATACATTTACAAACATCCGTACCTTCTCCGGGATTCGAACACGGGGCCTTTGACACGACATTCAGCGACACTAAGCACTACACCGGTTAAGAGGCTAGGGTTCGTTTGAAGTTCGGTCTTGAGTTCTCGTCGCACTAGATCTTTTAACCACTTCCTCGCTTTACCGAGAAATGCTTTTGTTCATGCTATTCGGGCAGAAAATTTATAAATTCTCGTGAAATATTTCTAATAGTGGCTGCATTCTTATATTTGTTTTGGCCTTTTAAAATGAATCTGGCTTTTCTGTTTTTAGGATTATAAATGATGTTTGTAAAGATACATTTTACTTGGCATTCGGTGAATCTCCTCGGATGCTTTGTATGCGGTTTATTTTCCAGCAAATTCGTTTTACAGTATTTCAAAAATTAAACCGAATAACAGGTTTGATTTAAATTTAGTTCATATATTTTCTTCGTAGGTATCTCACGATTACAATGAAAAATTATACAATAGTGTAACTGAAAAATTATAAGAAAGTTCTTTGATACACGTTAATAATCTAATAAGCTATCTTTTTCATGTTTAAAATCTTTTGTCCCCTTTATTTTATAAGAAAGGTTTGCTAGAATTGGCTCTTTATAGCATTTGAATTTTAAGTTACCATTTTGAAATTCATAGCCCACAAGGGCTATGATTTTCAAAAGGGCATTTTACGTCGATTCACTTTTCCATCGGTTACCGCCAAATATTATCGCCAAGTAATATATTTAAAGAAACTAATTAATGAAGAATCTACTTAAATGTATGTATTTTTCCCGCATTGTGATAAAACAATGGTACACAGAGCCATCCAATTTTGAGTAACGTAGTCCTCCACCCGAATATGGGCATCCTGAAGCACGAATTTGGAATTTGACTTATTATCTATTTCAAATTTTGTAAAACCTTATCGAATTTTTTTATTAACAAACTTAACGATTTCAAAGCGAGCAATGGCAACACTTTACGGAAAAAGAATATTTTTATCTCCAGCACGCGAGACTGTGTATCGGAAATTCTAAACATAGGCTCAATTTAAGTTATTTTGCGATATTGCTGTGGAACTGCATTTTATGGTTTAAGTGCGAAGAACGTGATATTTAATAAATAAAGGTAACACAAAAAACGGTGAAAAAAAAAAAACAAACAAAAAAAAAAAAAAAAAAAAAAAAAAACGCGCTTTTGGACGGAATATAAAATCTGAAAGCTTTCAGATTTTTTTTTACTTAATTTCGTATTAAAATATCTAATTAATTCATTAGTATTCTTTAATATTATTCCTTCTAATAGATTTAACATAGTATTTATCACAGAAAGCAATGCAAAGTATTTAGTTTTGGAATAATAATGAATTTTTATCACTAAATGTTTGCTCCACTACTTTTTGAGTCACTTCAGTTATTTATCCTGTAAGATAAAGCTCCAGTAACATGCGGTAATGTTAAGTCCTGCGACGTCTGAAGTCCAATATCCGCAGCACCACAAACAAACAAATCAAAACACGTGCTTATTGTGGAAGTCCATTCACGTGCGATATACGCCAACCAACTGCGGCATTCTTTCCTATAATATGGATAAAGCTGATAATCGATATCAAATCAGATCGTTCTTTCTACGATTAAGGGAGATTAGAAGTTAATGATTATTGTTAATTTGGTTACTTAACGTAATGTCCGTTTAATTTTCCGGGTTCCTGGCATATGTTTTTAAATATTTGTGGCATAAAGTTTTAGTGTTTCTTGTTGACGTAACAACTGTTTGGACCAAAAAAAAGTTTTTTTTTTTTTTTGTTCGTTGAACGTTTTTGATTTGACGTTATGGATTTTTGAAGCATGAGTTGATGAAAAATTTTTTAGTCTTCGTCCTATATCGTAACCGCGGACCTCATGTAATAAGTCGCCCAGCGTGCAAACCATACACCAGTAAGGTTTTGGCATAGAAATACCTTTTAAACGTTTCGAAGTTATTTGCGTGAATTGTAATTTGTAACCTAGTGGAAAAAATTTGTTTTTAACACGAGCATTTATAAAAGTAAGCAGGCTGCTAACCTTAATACAGTAAATTTTTGATTGTATAAGAAGTTTAAAACTTTTTCATAAAAAGAATGGAGATAATATATAGATTATTTTGGTAAGTGGGTACATAAATAAATAGCGCGCTATTTAGCATATCAATGTTGTATGATCTTAATACCATTTAGTGTGCTATGACAAGTTATTACTACTTGAAGCGCAATTGCAAAGTTAGTTAATAATAATTTATTGCCTAAAGTATTGTAATTTTATTATCTCTATTTTTAAATTATAATTATTTAAAGTAAATTTTAAAATTTTTTTTAATTGTTTTTTTAAAAGTAAGTAATTTTTTTTTAAAAATTTAAAAAAAAAAAATTAAAAAAAAATAACATAAAAACTGTACAGAAAAGCGCCAATTGGCGAAACAGTAAACCCGTTTGGCAAACCTACAGGCTGACGGGGAGAGAAGAATTTTCCGCGGCAGTCAAGGGGAACTACTTCAACAAATGTGTGCGTCTCTGTTTCGCCGAGATATGTGAACTTGTGTACTCGCATCTGTACTGTGCTCTGAATTTCTTAAGCCGTTATAATGTACCCGGCAACTGTTACTTTTCCTTATTAAATTTGATTATTAATTGTAACATGTCTATCTTAACTAAGATTTCGGCTTTCCTAGTTAATGTTAGGGATATTTTCGTATGTATGCACGTGTTACTCACACGTACATCATTGGTGACCCTGTCCCTCGCTCCTTCTGTTTCGATCCCTAATGACTATCTGTCTCAATCTTTGTTAAAAAACTAAAAATATGCCTTATTTTGATGCCAATGCTCTTCCTTATGACTGATAAAGGCTCCACCCTATTCATTTCCTCCTCATTTTATCGTACGGATTACACGTGGTTTATCACACTTAAGGAGGATTTACAGGTATGTGGTCAAATTTTTTTAATTATCTGTGATTGGTCTTAATTATGTTTTTGTGATATGTTTTGCTCTAAAATTATAGTTTTAATTTAATTATTGATTGTTTAAAATTGATCTTTGAGTAATATTTGTGCTCACACTTTTATTGAGATATTGAATGTCTTCGTTATTTTATTCTAAATTGATACTGTTTTGATAAGGTATAGTGCAAAACATTAAGTTTACGATTTACGATATATTTATAATTGGCAACCATGCCAGGATCGGAAGGCCAAACCAACGAGGAATCGAATATGGCGGTTCAGGAGCCACAAATCTCACACGTGGCAGTTAAAATTCCCCCTTTATGGAAAAATAATGTTAAACTTTGGTTTATTCAAGTTGAAAGTAACTTTGCTTTAGCGAAGATTAGTAGCGATAGTACAAAATACAACCACGTGGTTTCTTCGATAGACCCTGAAACTCTTTCCGCAGTATCAGATATTTTATTTAATCCCCCAGCGACGGCTAAATATGATGCCCTTAAAGCTAGGTTAATAGGAGAATTCTCAGATTCGGAAAGCGAGCAAATACGCAGACTTATTTCTGAATTGCATTTAGGGGACGACAAACCATCTCACTTATTGAGAAAAATGAGAGAATTAGGTGGAAACTGTA